AATTCTAATTTGTATGAGACACTTCCCACACCCAGCATGAATTTTCACTGCAGCGGCCTTATAACCAGTTGTTCTTAAGCTGGTGCACATTTCGTGTGTCACATGCAACAATTATCAGACAGCACATCATCCACAAGGAGACAGTGTCACTGCCCACAGGCGTAGGAAAACACAACGACCGTGTTCACTCAATGACTGAGTGTCATTCAAAGTAAGTAACCTGACGATATTTCACTAAACCAAGCGACACCAGTTAGATTGGTTACGGGGAGAAATTTGTACCAGAGGTGAAAAAGGAGCAGATGTTGAGAAATCTTTCAAAGTCGAAGTATATCAGTAAGTTGAACTTTAACTGAATTACTTGGAGCCGAAGCCGACCTGAAAGCTTGTGGTGAGATAAGCACACAAAAGTAAACAACGCCTGAACTAACACAAGAGCCCGGCAAAATAAAAAAATCTCAAGCTCCAACTAGTCTACTTTAAGTCAAACATAGGCAAAAGTTTTGAATGTGGCTTGGGTGGGACAAGCCTTATTGGCGGCCGATCACGTTCGGGTTCGCACTGACCAAGCAGAATCGGGCGCATGAGAAACGACTTAACTATTCAGGAAAATGGTGATCAGCTTGCGATTCTTGAACCTCTTTAACTTGAGAAATAGAAATCCCTAGGCCTCCAATGCGTTTACCTTCCTTAGAACAACACCATTGTCCGCTTTGACATACCCGTAAGAGATCATGATGTATCACATCGCAGTCCTGCTAGAGGTCTTAGAAGTTTTCTAAGGTCACTATGCATATTTGCGGCTTTGTGTGCACTTCGTTTGTCCTGTGAATGAAGTGCTTTTTATAAACAGTAACCCAATGGGGTAACCCATTCCAAACAGCGATATGCATGACTTTCGGGCAAACGTGTAAATCTTGGTACCCAGTGCTACCCACTTTTTTGTAACTGGTAGGATAGATTCTTTCGATCTATCATTTGTTTACTGAAAACCAAAAATCTGTGACCCGCCGAAGACACGCATATGGCCCAACAAGTTCCAAGTTGTTTTTCCTGTTTATATTTACCTTTCCAGACAAAACACCCATCTATTTCAATCATATCGCCCACTCCACGAACTTCACATGCAAACTGCAGATTGTTTCGAGGCGAATAGTTATGTAGTGCTGATAATTTTACACTGCAAAAGGTATAACAGGTGTTACAACGATCTAGGGTTTTTCTAAAATTCTCCTTTGTTGTTGACTTAGATGAGATCCTTTAGTGAACTGCAGTGTCCTCAAAGATCCTTTCTTCTGACAGCTAACACTTTGAAAGTCGAAATCACCCCCCTTCTAATTATTAGGTGTGCAATCCATTACAACAGCACACTTACAATTTAGACTTCTCGCAAGTTACCTGACTCTGCGAGTAACTCGTGATGTGATCATCATCGTAATTCATCGAAAGCCAAAAAGCTAGTAAACGAACTCATCGAATGAACTTGAATACCGCGTCTTCAACCTGTTAGGTTGTCCACAAAGGTTTACGTCGCCAAACTTTTTATTTCTACCATGATCCACCTAACGAAAGCTTTGTTTGTCAGATTCAGGTTTTTTGCTCATAGATAGGAGCCTCTGAGCCTATATTGATCCCTTTCCAGTAGATTTTTATGCTTGTCCAATCCCCTTTTGAACGAATTAATTGATGATGCAAACATGACTTCTGGGAATCAATTCCAGGTTTTGATTGCCCGAGGCTAGAACCCGCGCTCTGAAAAGACTATTTTCGCCCTTTGCTTTTGTAGTCTCCTACTGTGTTCTCTGAGGTGTCCCCGCCCGGTGGAAAGGAAAGGAAAAGATAGACCAGGTACGAAGTCATTTCTTAGCATCCTGTCTGCCATAGGACGAAGTGAATAGGTTCGGCTCCATAAGTCGATCTTCATGGGCAAGGTCAAACATCGCAGGGATCGTACGAGTGGTTGCCCTCTGAGCTTTTTCTAGAAGTTCCGCACCAACTTTTAGGCAAGGATTAGCAGCCTGTGTACAGTTTTCTAATTTAGACCTAACTAAGGATGTTTATAAGATCGTAAACATGTCACCACTTATTTACGCAAACGTTCTACTTAATGAGCCCTAAAACTATGAGCTGCTGCCAATCGATAGTGGGCCGTGGTTTTCAAGTCATAACGCACTGTGTGACTCCTAGGTCATTATGGGTAGAGGAGTCCCATTGATATTGTAGTTGTTGATGTGTGTGCTCAGATCTCTCTGAAGCACACCTTATTTGCTGCTTCTTTTCCCACCGATTCTATGATCTCAAAATATTTATTAGGATTCTCTCTATCACTTATCTCTCACGAATCTACCTCGGTTTCTCCCGTCTTACCTTCCGCTTCCTTTCAGCTTGTTTTGTCCTCTCACTTTGTTTTCCTCGATTTCTCTAGACATCCTTTTTATCTTCTTTTTACAAAGAGTTCGACCAACTACCTGGTGGCATGACACTTTCGGAACCGATCAGGACCACAGTCATTTGAAAAATCGAGTGACTTTAAAGGGCACCCTAGCAACTGATGAATAGACCAGCCAGGCCTCGGTAGTTGGCCTGGAGAAGTACTTTCCCATAAAAAAGGAATGTAACTGGCTGTCTCATCAGTCGCTAGGGTGGCCCTTAAAGTTGCTCGAAAAATTAGTACCCAGCCACCGTTGGGCTAACCAGAACTACAGCAGGCAAGTGTGATAGACCTAGTGCATCAGAATCCACCAAAGACCTGAAACGGTTGCGCAAGACCTAGAAGCGAGTGAGAAGAAATCAATTGATTTACACTCGCTCGTAAAAAGATATTGGATATTGGAAGCGGGTGGCTTAATTTTCAGCTGTATTTTGAAGGTGATTGGGGTTCATTTAGATTATTTAGCGATTTATTCCGTAAGATTCGAGGCAATTTCTCCGCTTGTTGTTTTTACGTGTTGTGTACCAATACTGAAGTCTCTTATATGTGCTCGTATTATACAGAGTGGATGAAATCACAAACAATTGTGTTATCGAAATAATGGAGAATATTTGTAGCTCAGGTGGATGGTCTTGGTTGTATTGTGTTGTCGTATTTGGAGCAAAATATCAAGGTTTGACGAAGTAAGTGCCCATTCAGTCAGTGTCTGGATTGGTCCTGCAATATATTGGGGGAGGTACCTCCCCCAGGATATACACGTGTAGTGTATCCTAGTCAAATGGCATGGACTTCTCCAATATTTAAGTCTGGGAAATTACCTAGCTGGAGTGAACTTATTTCTTGGACATTTCCTAAAATACTCAAACTAAGATGTCTTAACACCAGGTCTCGAACTTTCGTAATTAATCGGACACCTAATTGTTCCTTATTTTACTGTATTGCTCGATTGGAGAAAGTTAACAGAACCTATGAAGCTGTGAGACCGATCGTTATTAGGAGAAGCTAGTTGCAAATCGAGAAATAGGGCTAAGTGCAGGGCCAAGAAAACACGGGGTGTAGCGTGGGAAAATTCAGTAGGACCTTTCTCTTGCCCTGAGTTTTCGCCAGTCTTTTCCCGTGGCCCCTGTGTTTGCCCGTGAAAACGCTGATAAGGGACCAGCCCATGTTCCCAGCGCCAGAGGCAATAAGGAGCCTGCTATTAAATTTTTGGACGCTTCATTGCCTTAACTCCAAGTCTTGAGCCTTGGAAGCCATGCGCGTTTATTTAATAACCAGTTTGGTGAACCGGGCTTTTTATGTTACTACCCAAACTCGAATTCCTAAGTCGTGATTAATACCTGTGACCGTAGTTTGTGAACTATTCGGCGGGCTTTCCATGCCTAACCTCAAAAACTGTAATTTGATGGGAATGTCTAATTATCTTCAGTAAGAAAAAGAATTCTTTATTATGCTTCCGGTCGCTTAAAATCGACTAACTTTTGTTTGTGGTTGGTCTTTCAAGGGGTACAAAATTCTATATTTCTACCGTCATCCGAATTTTCCAATGGCTGTGTCAATGGTCGTCATTTTAATACTGGTCACCGTTACAACTGTAGATGACTATTGGGTATTACTTGGTATGGGTTCCCAATTTTTTGTCTTACCACTATCCAACAGACCTTTCTGGTATGATAGGACCTCGAGGTAGCAGCTATCGTCTGGGGGAAAGTTGGTCACAGTAGCGTAGATGTATTCACTCTGATGTGAGTTGTACAAAAAAGTAGGTTACCTGACTATATTCTTTCGTAGTGCTAGGAGTCTATTTACAGTATATCCCTTTAGTTTACTGCCCATGGCTACTTCACATCTTTCTGTTTCTGCGATCTCTACATTTATGTGAAGCTTTGTTTTCTCTATTACTTCTGTTTTACTGTTTGGTGCGGGCCTAATGAGTAAGTTTTTATTTTCTGTCCTAGCGCCCACATATTTTTTAAAATGTTGAGTGGACAATGAATATATATTCCACTCATTCAGTTCAGCAACTTATGGCTTAACTGTTGACCTGTACCTGAATAAGCTTACTATGTTTCTAGGTACTAAACTAGTTCGTCCGAAAGTCTACCACTTGTTTTTGTCTCATTCTTCAGCTGATGTTTATATTAGGGATTGATTGTCGAAACTATATGGAAACATTTTCGGAGTACACCACATCCCATAGGCGTAGAACGCATGGTTGCTACTGTCAAAACTACTATTGTTGTTATTTTACTAGTTTTGGGTTTTGTGGCAATACGTTTGGAAGTAACATAATACTTTTGGTTGGACAGATTCTTCTCGATAATTAGATCGTTGCGTTAAACTGATTACCTATTTATACTTATCAGTAAACAAACTAACAGTTTGTCCTGTTTTTTTTTCTGGTTAACGGACGAGAAAGTGGGAAAACTCTGAAAATAAGTATGTATTTCATCGCAAAACCAAGTTCATGTTTGCATTTTAGTACTTCTAATAATTTGTGATCAACTTTTTAGAATTCGGATGTATTGACCAATAATTGTTATTTGAAACTGTGAGCAAAATAACAACTTTTATGGACCAACTTATCGACTCCAGCTTGTTAGATTTACCGTGTCTTCGAATCCTCGAAGTGCAATGTATGAAGATGAAAAAAGCCACTATTTCCTTGAGTCCGGTTGCGAGAATGCATATTGTCAAGTATACGATAGAAATAATCAAGAATCTTTGCAATCCTACTATACCCAACCGTATTGCTGATATCATAGAACGAATAGATTACTGTTTTCCTTCAAAAATTAGACCTTCCTGTCATTTTCTCAGTGAAATTCAGTCGAATGTCGAGAAAGGGAAGAGAAAAACATTGTATATTTCTTCTGATAAAGTTTTTTCCTCCTTCAAGGTAAAAATAGATTAGTCTAATTGTACTCTTAGTCAGCATTCTCACATGTGGAACCGGCTGTATCGTTATTCCTCGCACACCTAATGGAGCATATTATAGGCCAGATTCTTCAGGTAATGCACTTCAATTATGATTGATTTTTAGTGGACCGTACATTATGAGTCGAAAATTCATTCTGGATACATTGAAGGGACGGATATAGAGGTAAGTGTGTCATAAGTTGATATACTGCTTCCTTGATACAGTATAGATTGCGAACAAGACTATCAGGGGAAGTAATTTATTGTTTTTACACATTGTTTATCATGCTGCTACGAATCTCTTATTCAGGCTTTTTGTTTGATGAGTTTTATTGGGTTACAAGCCTTTCCAACAAGATCTTAAGATTCTCGCAGCCTCTTTCTCGTCGATGTAGCTAATTGTCAATGATAATTTGATAAAATGACGTTTCTAACACCAAGTCTGTCTCGCTTAATATGATCCATGGGTACATGTTACGATCCCATCCAGTAGTTCAAGTTATGCTGTTAGTGCTATGATTTAGCATGTTTACCAAGATGGTTCCGATGGAGCTCACACGTTAGCGTCCATAAGATACAGTCACAATTAAATTAACATAGAAGCTGTATATCTATAATTCCTATTAACAAATTCCATCAAATGATATATTAATGGCAGATCAAAGTACTAACTGACCGCAAACTTTTACCGACGAGGGAGATCCCAGTTCACTTAATTAACCACTCACAAACTAAGGCTACCATACTGCTGGGCTATCGTCCCAAGAGAGTCTACTAGTGCACAGATAATATGGATCAGTCTGGTGTACAGACAGATAAAATCAACGTAGAACCTCGCACACGAGTGGGTCGGTTCAAGTTTCCACCCTTCACAATAGTATACAAAGAACAGGTGAGTAGGAAAGACTGATATCCAAATAGAAAAAGGTGTATGGAAAGAGAGAGAAAGTAAAATTAAGGTTATTCAACACATTCAAGCCTTAGAAGACAACGTCAAAGAGTGAACACATCTGCTTCATTGTGACCAATTTTCAATAATTTCACCGAGAGTCCTCAACCACTGATTCTTTTCGTCTCGGGGACCCCAGCTAGATAGTCTACATCTCCCTATAACAGGTAAGAACTTCATCTACTGGCGCCAGGTTTTGGTCTGGCCATCCCAAACTCTTTAGACTTGCCACAGCATGACATGTCAATCTAGGCGCTGGCTTGGTATGGGGAGTACATATCCACCTCGGTTTATGAAGGTCCACAACCCCATTGACTGAATTACCTTCCTTGCCTAGTACCCCTCACTTGCTCTCAACAGTACACGGTGATTCCACCTAACGCGCGGAAAGCTGCGAAGTTAGCTCTGATCAAAACCCTATAACTATTTCATATCTACCTTTAACGACTATCTCTCACCACCGTGTAACAGCACAGAACGGGCTGCAACAGCGCAGTATACTTGTCGTTTGATATGTAGTTGAATGTTTCGCCAATCGGCCCCAGAGATGCCACATGTTGGCAAATGCCGAACTAGGACTCTGTGTCTGAGCTCAGATGTCGTCAGCTACCAGCTAGCCCGAGCTGATGCAACTCCCCAAGTGAGTGAAGTGGTCGACATATTGCACCACTTCACTCCCTATCATTAAAATCAAAGTAGTTGCAGACCACTTCTGCAGCATCATCTTACATTTGATAGGTGGTGAAAGACAAATGTATGCCAAACATACTCAGATTTCTGCTCAACACGTTCACAAGACTCTACATTTTGTCAACATCTTCATCTAGCAGTACAATATTGTCTGCATATTCCAAATCAACCAGATGGCCTCCACGTAGTAGATAAATCCCCATGAAGTCAGAGGTACTTCAGGTTATCTCCACTAGTAAATCCATAATGAAGTTAGATAGGAACGGTTCTAGTTGTCGTCAATTCAGATGAAAGCTCTCCATAAGGTTTTGCTTGGCTGCATGAGTTAAAGTACAGAGCCTTGATTAGCATTAAATACCTGTTCACTATTCTTTTCACAGTTGGCCTCCGACCAAATACCTCAGGTTGGTGTTTTGTTGTGAGGTATTGTTCCCCAGTGCCCACCGAATAAAATGCTGTAACTGCAGCGTTTAAAAGCCCCATCGCCTACTTTGATGTGAGCGACCGGTTGGGGTCATTAAGTGTGGCTCATGACCTGATACATTGACACTGTGCCGGTTTGATTGGTATTTGAGTTTCTTATATAATTTAGTAGGTTCTTGATTACGTCAAGTAATAAAATATGCAGTTTTGGATTTACCAGAAACTTACTTATTATGCTGTGTACTTCATTCGACTTTTTCAGCATATCTTCAGTTTGTTTGGGACTCCAAAACAGTCAAAATCACCAGTTTATTATTCCCTTCCATTTGTGTTTCGAAAGTCTACAGATTATAAGAGTCATGCGAAAGAGATTCAGTACTTGTTGCGATCTAGTGTCCAACATCTTGGGATTGTTGTACGGATTTTTAGTGACTCACTTTCAGAAGAGCTATCTCAAATTCGAACCGCTACAGAATCTTTCCTATGCAAATACGAAAATGAACTGCACACTCATTCGGCAGCTCAGTACTTATTAGAATCAGTCAAATCTGCCCAGCTGGTTTTTGATCGAGCTTCAGAGTTGTATAGTCACGTAACCCTTCTAAGTGAATGTGTTGACGATACTCAAGAAGATCAAACGCGTCTTCTTGGATCATGTTTGATAGTAAGTTATTTTCGTTGACCACATTTTATTAAGAACATTTAAGTCAATGTATGCTTCTCACTTTTGTTTTGACTTTCTTGCTCGGATGAGTTTTACTTTCATATGATAAAGATTTGTTTCGCAGGATGAGGACAATTGCTTGGTATCCTGCACGTTTTGAGCTTTGTTCTTGGACGTCTCACCATGAGAATAGGAGACTCCATCAGGATTTGCTTCATATAAGTGAAGCCTTTTTAAGTTGGATGAATATCCATGTAGCATATTTACCTATCTTGAGCGTTATTAGCTCATGGGTGGATGTATTTTTTTCCTCAGATGTTGATCTTCATAGCTTTTGTGACCATTTGACCTATGATTTCCAGTCGACTGATCCATTTTTGGTAGTCCGTGTATTGGCTCAGTGTTTAGGCCTTTGTTGACTGGCATTTGACTGGAATATAATGCTTCCAAAATTGTTTTCTAGTTTTTGAGCTTGTGTGTTGTAGTACTTCTACATCGTCGTAATCGAAGTCGTGATTGTGGTCATCTACATGTCATGATCTCAGTGCTGTTATGTTATATGGTTTAACCGCCGCTAGTGGATACTTGTAAACTCTGAGCTGTTTGACTATTCGATTAACCAAAGTAGTGATGTTGACAGTCATTACCACTAGTTATATGTTTTATCCTCTTCAGGTAGCGGATATTTCGACTTGCATGAGATAATCTGTAGGGATTTTCTTTCTTTGTGTGCCACACTGATACCGGTCTAGAGAAGTAATTGGTTGATAATTTCTGAGGCATCTTTCATGTATGATAAAGTGATTCGTTTAGTAGATTGAGATAATGATCCCAACTCGTGTTCTGTTGACAGGCATTTCTTGATGGAGTTGATTAGATGACCATTGGATTTGAACACTTTGTGAAGTTGGTTTTCTTCTGACTTTCATAGTTGTTAAGTAGTACAGTAAGTCGTGACACGTGCGAATAGTACTTATACGCAACTCTTCTGATGGGATATTGAGTTGTCACTATCGTGATTCGAAATTTGATGTGTTTCTCGCCTTCTTGTTCTCTTGAGTCTGTAGGGTCTCATCATTTATCCTATTGATGGTAACGTCTCGGTATGCGATTTAACGGTTTGGTTGATGTGGTTGATGGTTGTTTGTGTTATTCATTTCTCTTATTTCAAAAATTAAAAAAGTGTCATTGGTGTAATAAATCCAAATTTTTGGTTTGGTTGTTGAAATAAATATATTTATTCTAACCTTTGAATCCTTGCTTCAGCGATCGTTTTGGATATGTGAGCTAATGTCAGCTTCCTTTATTTGTTTCTAGATCTTCCTGTTGAGCTGAAAGAATATCTTGAGAAATAGTTTAGTTAGTTGTACAGAAGTGTTTAAGGCTCCAGGTTTTTAATCATTAGATACTTAAATGAAGCTCGAGAAGAGTCAACTGGAGATAACCAGGCAGGTTTCAGACCTGGTTGTGAGTGTATGGACTATTTTCTCACTCCATGAAGTCTTGTAGTTAGGGTGTGTTTTCCATCGCCCGACACTTGCTTTAATTCTTGACCTAAAGTTAGCATTCGACTCTGTCGATCGTAAGGTATTGTTGCAGTTTGACTGTAAAAGGAGGACCAAGCAAGTGTATTACACTAATTTAAACTTTCTACTCATGTTCATGCTGCTGTGCAGGACCTTACAAAGACTTTTCGTTCTACGTACTTTTGGCATACTGTTTGCACTTGTTAAATGTAAAATGATGCTTAAGGACTATGGCATAGGCATTTTTTCCCGACCGATAGCTGCTACCTTGACGTGGTGGTCGGGCTTGCATATCACAATGACCCAACGAGCTATGCTGGTGGAACGCTTGTTCCCTCGAGGTCCTACCATACCAGAAAGGTCTGTTGGGTAGTGGTTAGACGAAAAGCAGTTACCGTCATAGTGTAAATTGCTACACTATGATGGGGGTCTGAGGGCGAAGTCGTACTGCTGCTAGCTGGATGGGGTGTGACAGCAGTAAGGTGTTTCCCTTGGATGACCAGCAGTGCCAAGCTGATGCTGCCTTCTCAGTGGAAGGGGGGGTTAGAAAAGGTCGGCCCCAAAAATAACACACTCCACCACGCCCCACGGTCTGCCGGGCCGGCGGTGTTGGTTCACTTGTCGTTTCCTTTCGCTCATCCGGCCCCAAAAATACAAAAATTCAAAATAATCATACTCAAAAGGCTGGGTGTGACAGGCCTCAAGCAGATGTCCGATGGGCTCTGCGGTCACACAAATCTCTTTCAGGTACCTTAAGAAGAAATAGCCTTCCACGGTGTGGGCAGCCGGGAAGTGTCAACCGCCCTCACAACTCTGTCAGCACCCAAGTTTCTTCTGACTGCTATCCTCCTCCTCCATCATTACCTTCTAATCTTCCTTCACGTCTCTTAATTAATGATGCTGCATCATCTTCAATTTCTCCTACCTCTGCAGCCTTCGACAACGATCTGAGTCCACAGAACAGTGTCCCTGGTCTCCTTAAACCACGCTCCAAATTACATATTGGAGCCTTCAATGTCCGCACCCTCCGTCAAATTGGCCAACAGGCTTCGTTGGCAAAGACTCTAGCAACTCGAGGCATGGATGTGTGCTGTGTTTGTGAGACACGCATACAGGACCCAAGTGTGGTTATTCACCTGACCTCTCCTGACCAATCTGGTGAATCTGCAAAATTCACCCTTCGAGTTTCTGGAGATTCGATAGCTAGCTCTCGTGGTCTTGCAGGTGTAGGTATAGCATTAAGCACCAGGGCAGAAAACTCACTACTAGACTGGATCCCAGTTGATAGTCGCCTCTGCGCTATGAGGCTGAACGGCACAGTGAGAACTAAAAGGAATAGTGAGACTCGCCGTTGTCTCTTTGTAATCTCTGCTTACGCACCCACTGACTGTAGTTCGGATGAAGTGAAGGACGAGTTCTACCATAAACTGTCTAACCTCCTCTCGAAAGCCAAACGTTCGGACGTAGTGGTTGTTGCAGGTGACCTCAACGCACAGGTGGGTAGACTGAGTGAGGCAGAAAGGCACTTAGGTGGCACTTTCGGAATCCCAGCTGAACGTACAGATAACGGTGATCGCCTATTACAACTATGCTCAGATAACCGCCTATTTTTAGCCAGCACAAATTTCAGACATAAAGAAAGGCACTGTCTGACCTGGCGTCCACCGAGCTCGACTCAGCGATGGACACAGATAGACCACATTGCTATTAGTCATCGCTGGAGAGGATCGGTGGAAGACTGCCGCTCCTTCTGGAGTACGTGTTTGGACAGCGATCATGCGTTGGTCCGAGCACGTATATGCCTGCGTCTCAATGGACGTAGAAAAAATTTGGCAACAAAACCACTACGAGTTCTGCTGGACAACGAAAACACCAAAGCCGTGTTCAGTGAGAAGTTGGCTAGGCAGTTATCGGAACAAAAGACTGTCACTCATCCAGAAGAAGCTTGGTGCCATCTTCAGTCTACTGTAAAAGCAGCACTGGAGACTGTAGCCGACTCCAAGATAATGGCTAAAAAGAGCCAGTGGATATCAGCAGCTTCTTCCAAACTAATGGATGCACGTGAATGCATCCCTGCAGGCTCTGAGTACAATGAAGAGCGAGCGCAACTTAAAAATAAACTGACGAAAAGTCTGCGCAACGATCGTGAACAGTGGTGGGCAGCAAAGGCTAAAGAGATGGAAAAGGCAGCGGCGATCGGTAACAGTAGACAGTTATTTAGACTTATTAAGGAGACTGGGGGGAAATGGTCAACAACAGTTAGTGAGGTTATAGCGGAGAAGGACGGATCGGCGATTCACTCGCAGGGAAGGCGACTGGGACGATGGGCAGAACACTTTGAGGAACAGTTTAACTGGCCTCCAGCCACCATTGCGCTGCCCGCTATCCAGTCGGACCCTGAATGGGACATAGAGACAGGTCCCCCAACACTAGAAGAAGTTGAGAAAGCGGTAGGTAGCCTGAAACGGGGAAGGGCAGCAGGACCAGACGGACTACCTGCTGAGGTATACAAGAATGGTGGTAGAGTTCTCTTAGTCAGGCTAACGGAAGTGTTAGCCAGTATATGGGAATCAAATACGATCCCCTCCGACTGGTCTAAGTCACTGATCATCCCAGTCTTCAAGAAAGGCGAGAAGTCCTCTTGTGATAACCACAGAGGAATCAGCCTGACAAACATAGTGTCTAAGATCCTAAGTTCTATAATTCTCCGACGCCTGAGTGGAGCTCGGGAACAGCAAGCCCGAGAAAACCAGGCAGGCTTTAGACCTGGCCGTGGATGTATCGACCAAATATTCACACTGCGCCAGGTCCTGGAACATAGGCATGCTTACAGACGCCCGACAATAGCTGTATTTCTCGACCTGAAGGCGGCATTTGACTCCGTTGATCGAGAAGTCTTATGGCAGTGTCTGTCACTGAAAGGCGTGCCTAGTAAGTACATCACCTTATTGAAAGCTCTCTACTCGAACACTTGTGGGCATGTTAGAGCCTATGGTGAGTTGTCCAGGGAGCTATACTCATCAAGTGGTGTCCGTCAAGGATGCCCACTATCCCCATTCTTATTTAATTTTATCATAGATATTCTTATGGAGGTTTCCCTCTCGTCACCTAATTACAAAGACGTTGACCGGATCACAGGTGAATTTTCCTTAGATCTAGAATATGCAGATGACATAGTCCTGTTAGGTGAAGACGCTGACAAGATGCAGAGTCTTCTGAACACTTTGAGTGGGAATTTGAGAATGTTTGGGATGCGATTTTCACCACCCAAATGCAAATTTTTGCTCCAGGACTGGTCTTCAGCGGTACCGCGGTTAACAATAGAGAGTGAAGTGGTTGAGTGTGTTGACCACTTCACTTACCTGGGAAGTAGGATCAACTCCGGTGGGTTAGTTGCCGATGAGATTTCTGCACGGATACAAAAGGCTCGATTGGCTTTTGCCAATTTGCGCCACCTATGGCGCCGCCGTGATATTCGTTTGTCTATTAAGGGTCGCGTGTACTGCACAGCAGTCCGCTCTGTTCTACTGTATGGCTGTGAAACATGGCCATTGAAAGTGGAAGACATGAGAAGGTTACAGGTATTTGACCACCGTTGCCTTCGTAGTATAGGACGTATTCCGTGGTGTCACCATGTGAGTAATGCAGAAGTTAGGTGTAGAGTTTTAGGGAGAAGAGGTAAGTCAGTCGACGAGGTTGTGAACCTTCATCGACTGAGATGGTTGGGACACGTACTACGTATGCCTAGTCACCGATTGCCTCGTCACACAATGTTGGCTGAGGTGGGTTCAGGCTGGAAAAAGGCCCGAGGTGGCCAGACTAAAACATGGCACCAATGTATGAAGTCTCTGACTGTTGGTTTAAGCCATGTAGGACGATGCAGACTAGGTGGTTGGGGTCCACGGGACAAGAGGAACCAGTGGTTGGAGACCCTAGGTGATATGGCTCAGAACCGAAGTCAGTGGCGCAGATGTATACACACATTATCCTCATCTTAACAACGCTATACCGAATCTCACTATTTTGTCACTCCTCTTTCCTTTCTTCTCATACTTTATATTTCTTTTGACTGCATTCACTTATCTTCATCCTTCACCTCACTACCTTTTTACTTGATGTGCTGATATGAGGTGTGGCAACTCGGACCGTTACGCAGTAATGCCTGGTCCTATGTTGATAATGATGATGATGATGATGATGATGATGCATAGGCATTTGTACCTTCAGAATGATGAGTTAAATGGTGCAGTGCGTCGACCACTTTAACAGTTACATGAGGCCTCGTAGGGCAATTGGTGTCGAAGTTTTCCAAACAAGGTGCAAAAGGTCCGTTTTGGCGCCTGCCAACCTACTCCATCTCTGGCACCGGTGATATCTCCGAATACTTATCGAAAGACAAGCATACTGCATAACATTCCGCTATGCAATATATCCCGTTGCATTGTTGATTACACTTTTCTTCGTAGTATTGCTCGCTTGTGATGAAATTGTCAAGCGATCTATCGTTGAAGTTCGATGTAAGATACTTTTTAGGGAAGATAATTCAGTCGACGACGTACCACGTTCGAAACACACTAGACATCTACTTTGACCTGGAAAATTGGCTGATATCTTAATTCCTCACACACAGAAAGTGTGACTCGTAGTCTAGCAGATGAAAATAAACCTGGTTGAGATACTTTAAGTTGGTTAAATCATTGCAAACGAAGAAGTTGTGAACCTTTACTAACTAAGACGATTGAGACGTTTGTTGAGCATACTGAGCCACTACCTATGTTAGTGCACGATGTTAGTCGAAATACGACTAGATAAAGAAAAAGCTATAGTTGACTAGAGAAAAATTTGACACCACCAATCCATGAGGTCTTTGAGTATTTTTCTGAACTGTGTGAGAAGATGTAGGCAACCTGTCGTAGATATTTTAGTTGATAAGAAAGAATCTGCTACTGAAAATTCTTGTTCATATTTCTCAAAACTAGTCATAGTGGCGGTTGTTTTTACACGCTTTACTACTTTTGAAATTTGAAACGTGTTTATTAACTTTAAATTATTTACTCCCCTCTCGTGTAAATACACTTTCCCTGCTTTAATCTCATTCTTTTTCTACCCACTTCCTCCTTGTTTATTGATGTGAATTGTGTTTACTTGAAATATTATACTTGTATGCAAGACTTCACACTCATTTATTTGTATCTCTTCCTCCTTATGTATGATCTATACATTAGACAATAAATACAACAGGACAATATGTAAGCAATGAATCTACATTGCTTTCAATCATCCAGCAAAACCAAGGCATATAACTATTATTAGTACTTTTAATGTGTTGGCAGACTGAGGAGAGTCTAGTAAAAGGTCATGAATGAATGTGGTAGAAATATGAATGTAGAATTAGTGAATTCTTTTCTCTCATGTGCTGCGTAAAACCATATCCTTTTTTATCAATATTTTTCCTTATTAATCACTAACGTAGATGATAATTTTATTTGACAGTTAGCTCTACTTCTGGGCGTTTTCTGTAAAATCATGTAACAAGGGAAAATAGTATTTAGAAGTAATATTCATCATGGACTGATATTGGTTGGGGAACCATTGAAAATCTGGGAGCACTGGACAGCTGTTTCGTACTAGTATGGTACCCCTCAGCAGTACGCACCCACGACCCGGCTAGGGATGGAACTCAGGACCTTCAGGTTTCACGGCGAGCGCGTTAAGCATTCAGCCACTAGGTCGGTTTTCAGTGGTTCACAATTTCCATCTTCTGTCAATTCACCACATAGCGCGACTATCATCCAAGGTCTTCAGTTAGCATCCACTTCACTTCCGACTGGTTGACCCCAAAGGTCACGGCTTCTCCAGTGCTCCCAGATTTTCAATGGTTCCCCAACTAATGTCAGTCCATGATGAATACTACTTCTAAATTAAAAATCCCCACTCATCTCGAAAAAGTATTTGTTGGATTCGTGTTATGAACTACTGTTTCAAATTTCGAGATTGCTTCCTAGCCCTACTGAGTGTGTTGTGTGAATAGATCTTATTCAGGAGGAATAGATGACAACAATTTACTAAGTAATCTTTTCAACTGTTTGTTTATATATGCTCAGATTTAGTGATAAGTTAGTTTTATTCATTTGGGAATATTTTGGCTAAAAGAAAAATCACATTTTTGGTATTTTCTTTATGTACATTTTAGGAAAGTGCAGAGGATGAAACATTTTACACCTTTGCTCACTATTCAAGTGCACTTTTCAGTAGTGATTGTCGGGAATGGATAAATTCTTTGGCTCAGATACCTCATATCATGCGAACACTTGCAAACGAATTTCAAAAGATTTTGCATATCACACTGGCCAATGTAAGGCTTTTTATAATTGGAATCATCTGTGTTGTTGTCTGTATTAGTGGATAAAATAAGACTGTCACATACTCAGTATTATCGTTATACTAAATACAGTAGTACTAGTCTTAAGTGTGGTCAAAATTAGAGTGGAATACTGTAAGTATTTGACCATGTGGTAATGATGGCGCATTCAATTTTCAAAATCTATAAGATTACACTTACTCATGCTAAGTGAAGTATTAACTCATAGAGTGACACGTTCAGTTTTCAGTCAAAGGGTTCTCCAATTACCGAAGTTCTACCAATTCATCTAATATCACAGCTCTGACCAAAAACGTGTAGCTTAGATCATTATAAATCATGCAAATCTTTGCCTCTTAATCTTCCCATACGTTTGTTAGTCAATATTCTAATATTATCTTTAATTTGCTTCAGTTCTTCAGTCTTTGATAACGATTCGAGTTTACAAAACAGCATCTGTGTTCTTCTAAAACTGCTCTCCAGACTGCATTTTGGAGTTTTCAATATTCATACCTTTCATTGAATCAACCAACAAGCTTCTGTAATTGAAACTAGCCTCTCAGGCCGTGAATGTATGCTGCGTTTATGGAACATGTATTCACGGACTAATTGTGGACTGCTATTGTAAATTTATGAAAATCCCTCATTGAGTTTCTGAAGATATGATGGCTAGTTCTTGCGGTCTTTCTTGTGTTGGTATAACACTAAGTGTGCTAAGGCGGAAAGTTCATTACTTGACTGCATCCCAGTTAACAGTTGTATGTATGCTGTTCGACTTAACAGAAGTAGTGCCGTGAGATTGGTGTACTTCACTGATTATCCCAGCTTATAGAACGGGAGAGGAATCTTGTGACAACCATTTGGGAATTAGTTTGACTAATATTGTATCCAAAATCTTAGGGTTCATAGTCATTTCAGGTCTACATGAAGGTTGATAACAGCAAACTGGAGAAAACTACGTAGGTTTGAGACTTGGACGAGGGTACATCGATCGTATTTTCACCCTTCAACAGGTTCTGGAACACAGGGTATATCTGCCTACCAGCAGCCAACACTTGCCATATTTCTTGACCTGAAGTTGGCATTTGACTCTGTCGTCTGTGAGGCGTTGTGGCAAAGTCTAACTGTGAAACGGGTACCGAGCAAATGTAGAACGCTAATCAAAGCTCTGTACTCGAACTCACGGAGCTATGTCAGGGCTTGTGAGGAGTTGTCTTCAGAATCGATAACAGCTAGGTGTCCATCGAGGATGTCCACTGTCGCCGTTCCTATCTAACTTCATTATGGATTTACTAGTGGAGATAACCTCAAGTACCTCTGACTTCATGGGGATTGATCTACTACGTGGAAGCCATCTGGTTGATTTGGAATATGCTGACAATATTGTGCTGCTAGATGAAGATGTTGACAAAATGTAGAGTCTTGTGAACGTGTTGAGCAGAAATCTGAGTATGTTTGGCATACATTTGTCTTTCACCACCTATCAAATGTAAGATGATGCTGCAGAAGTGGTCTGCAACTACTTTGATTTTAATGATAGGGAGTGAAGTGGTGCAATATGTCGACCACTTCACTCACTTGGGGAGTTGCATCAGCTCGAGCTGGTTGGTTGCTGAATAAATTTTAGCTCAGATACAGAAGGGCCTGTTTGGAATTTGCCAACTTGCGTCACTAAGCGATTACTGGGTTTCGATCATGGACGTCTACGTAGCATTGCTTGCATTTGACGGAATCAGTGTATGAGCGAGTCGATTGATGAGGTTGTAAAAACCTTCATCGACTGAGATGAGTTGGACATGTACTACGCATGGCGAACCACCGACGTGTCATGCTAAGAGGAATTGGATTAGGCCAGAAGAGGGCTCAGAGTGGCCAGACCAAGAGCTTGCACTAGTCGATGAGCTGTGTAGGGAGATGCAGACTGCCTTATTCGGATATTTGAAACGGTATGAATGAGTGGTTGAGAAATATTGGTGAAGTGGCTAAAAATCGGTCGCAGTAGAGCAGATGTATTAACTCCTTAACATGTTCTAAAGCTTGGATATTCGCACTAGTCTTTATCTTCAGTTTGTTTATTCTCTCACACTACTTCATCGACTCTGATATCATTCATTTTCCATCCACAGGTTCTTTGTATACTACTGTGAGGTGTGGCAACTTGAACCGATGCACTTCTGTGTGAGTTTCCACGTTGATTTTGTCAGTTTGTCAGTCAAGGGGGTCGGTGGAAGATTCTCCCTCCATCTGTAGCACGTATTTGGACAATGATCATGCTTTGGTTCGAGTATTTGTATATCTGCATTTAAAAAGACGTATGTAAATTCCAGCAACAAGACCGTTGCGAGCGCAACTCAACGAAGTGAATTTTAAGGCTGCTTTCAGTTAGAAACTGACTAAGCATTTGTCGGAACAGGTCGACATCACTCATTCACAAGAAACCTGGAACCATCTTCAGTCTGCTCTATAAAATAGCGTTAAAAACCGCAGCTGACTCTCAAGATGTGTTAGGTAACATCATTGAATCTCCTCAGGTTTTTTAGAGTTAGTGGATGCTCGTGAATGCATTCCTGTAGACACCGAGCACAATGAGAGGTGGAAGCAACTGAAATGTAAACTATCAAAGAGTCTACGCAATGAATGTGAGAATTGAAGATTAAAAGATGGAAAAAAGAGTGGCGATAGATAGCAATTAACCATTCTTTAGGCTGACCAAGGAATATGGGCAACGAGTTTCAGTGGTTAGTGATATCATAGTGGTGAGAGATGAGTCTATAATTCAGTCACGGGGAGAAGACTGAAACATTGGATGTAGCACTTCGAGAAACGGTCGAGCTAAATTCAAATTTCTATTTCGTTGCCCGCTATCCAGGAGGATACTAAATAAATATAGACGGAGGTAAGACCTCAAACTCTTGTAGAAGTTGAGAAGGGTGTAAGTGTGCTGAATGGATGAAGAGTCAGCTGAGTAAGTACCAGAGGTATTTAAGGATGGCGGTCTGTGATTATTAGTCAGGTCAACTGAGTTATTTGTCAGAGTATGGAAATCAGGTGTGATCTCCTCTGACTGGTCTCAATCATTGATTATCAGTGTTCAAGAAAGGAGGCACATAAGAGCTGCCTCCGATTCGTTGGACAGAGCTATACCTGGGAATTGTATGTTGCAGAGAGGGGCGTGCCTGAGAAATTTATTAACATCCTGAACACCTGAAGTAGAGTGAGGGCATACAACCATCTGTCTCGATTGTTCCAAACCAGCAGTGGGGTTAGGCAGGCAGACAGAGTTGTTGAATTTCCTCATTCCTCTTTAACTTTGCCATCGATGACATTCTTGAGATAGCTCTGAGGGAGGTGCGGGATGGTGGTATAGATCTACTACCCGTAGAACGGCTATTCGACATTCAGTATGCGGACGATATTGTCATACTGTGGGATAACCCACAGGCTATTCAAATCGCACTTAATCAATTGGCGATTAGTGTCAGTAGGCACTGTATGTGCTTTGCAGCATTGAAGTGCAAAGTACTTTCGCAAGATTGGTAGAAGTCTTTGCCTATGCCCACTCTCGGTGGTAGGTCGTTGAAAGTAATCGAAAAGTTCATATATCTAGGTAGTTGGGTGTGTACTAGTGGAGGTTTGAGTGATGAAATTTGTGACCGCATATCGAAAGCTAGAGTCACTTACGTCAATCTGGGTCACCTTTGCCGCAGTTGCGATGTAAGTCTGAACTGGACATGTGTTACGCATGTCGTCCCAACGGCTTTCACACCGTTCATTGTCTGCTATTCCTGGGACTAGATGGAAGAAGCTGAGGGGTGGTCAGTGTATGATGTGGCGCCGTAGGATGAAAGATAGTTGTATCAGATTAGCATGTATTAGTGCATCGCGACTCTCTGGATGGAGTTCGAGAGGTCACGCACCTCAGTGTCTTGAGACGTTATCAAATATAGCTCAGAATCGAAACCAGCGGTGGTCATGATGTAGCTTCCTTCTATCTTCCACTACTAAAGAGTAATGAATGTTTTGTTTTGAATGTATCCTACCGGACTGCCCTTCTTATCGTTCTATTCTTGTGTTTTTCTTTCTATCCATTTCCCTTCGCTTTATATCTTCAAAATGTTATATTACTCTGTGTGGCGCATTTGTTGGTGCCCTTGTTGTACGATGTTTGTGCTCTAATAACCATAATCATCATCACAATAATGATAATAATGATAATCAAGGCACTATGGTAGCACGTGCATAATCCAGGCCCACCGAACAGATCATAGGTATCTCATATCATTTTAATTGTTAACTTGTAGTGTAAAAAACTGGTTTCTTCCAGAGTATGTATTTGATTTTCTGGAGAACTTTTTTCTTTTCTTAAACTAATGAAAATAGTATCTAAGATGGAAATGTGCAACATGTATATGTGTTTGAATTTATTGGTAGGATTACTCAATTCGGTTTTCTAGATCGAATGTTTCATCAAAGTCAAATGTTTTCAATATATAGTTAGCTGGTTATTATCAGAAGTTTCGTGTCAATAGCTTTTATTTAATGCGTATTTGATGTAGCGATTTTCCTTTTGTCAGGTGTCACTTATGTGCACCCCCCCCATTGCCTTTTGTTCAGTAGAGATTCTTCTTGTTACTGAAGTTTCCGTTTCCCACCCGTTGGCTGAATTGTACTGTGCTCTCAATGAGACCTGACAATTCTAGGTTGGATATCTAGTGAGATCGTGGATGGGCACTGTGAAATCAATAAATGTCAACAATCTTCTATAGTGAATATTCAGTATTTTATTTGGTTACTTCTTCATATTGTTTTCAAGCATGAAATCAGAATGTCCTTAGATGAATATTGTTTTTCTTTCAGGCATCTAGTCGTCGATATGCTGAAATACAATCACGTTTTTCTGATCCACATTCATGTCAGTTATGTGCTACTGGTTTTAATTGTGACACTAGGAACTTGACGTCTCCAGGACAATCTTCAGGATTTTATTGTGTATCACCTCAGCATTGTGACAGCCCACAGTTGTATTGGTTAAATGGTGTTTCAGATCATACTGTTTGTAGTTTTGCGAATGGGAGCATTATCACTACCTGTTCATCTGATAATATCACCAATCTATCTGTACCTTTTTGTTCGGTTTCTATGAACCAGGAGTTAACTAATTCACCATATTTTACATCGTTTTCAAATCGACGTCAGCCAAAACCGAATATTAATCATTCCTTGGACAGTAGTACAAAGGACAACTCAAGTCGAAGATCAGTTAGCAGTTCCCCGTCACGCCTACTATCATCTCAAAAATCTATGTCTGTTTCCTTAAATACGAATACTAGTGATTGTCAGATAACCGAACTTCTTTTTCGTACTCGTGATGACGACTATTCATCCTCTTCTTCCTCATCTCCTTCATGCTTGTCTTCAATGAACATGGAAAGTTTTGAATTGACTACAGTTTCGCCGTCTTGTAGTCATATGGTTATTGCTTTCCGGTATCTTCTACCTCAACTGTTACTTCTGCCTAATTTTCAGTTGCTTCTGTTGGTTGATCATATACAGGTATTTCAGTGTTTCTTTTATTGTTACAAATAGAAATGCAAACTTTTCATTAATATTATGAAAGATGTACTTCTTCGATTATTAGCAGTTGTGTAGTCTAGATAGTTTCTAGGCTGGTTCTCAGCTACTCTGAAGACTGTAACGTTCACTTTGAATGCTATATTACACGTTATATATTTTCACTGGATTGTTTGTTGACTAGTTGAGAATGTTTTGATGACTTCTCTGGGATATTTCAAGCAAGTGAATAGATATTTTCAATTTCATGCAACTCCAATAACTTTCAATTCATTTAGTATTCTTGAAGTCTTATTGTGGTTCGCTATGTAGAGACTAATCTGCATAGAATTTGGTATAGAAGTATGTTGACTCTACTTCTGAAAAAAGAAGTGAACAGAAATATCATGATGTTTAAATCAACAGGAAGGATGTGAAACATGTTAAGATAAGTAAATGTTGATGATTAAGAAATTCGAAATTTCGTCAATAATCGGGTGAACATATTTGCACTGTTGTGATCAACTTTGATTTAGGATGACAAATCTATTTATAACTGTTGGTTCTTAACAGTTTGTAGACGACAACCAGTTGCCTAGACTTTCTTCCATACTGAAATCAAAGATTAGCAACTTTATGGATTAATACAATGTTTCGGATGGCTTTAACAAAGAAGAGTTTCAGTTTAGTAAACATCGAAAAAGCAAGACAGGCCTTCCTGCATTAATTTGAAGTCAGTGTGGAGATCTACTGCTTTCCATTGCACTCAGCATAAAGCGTGAACAACATCTGGATTTTCAAAACCAGCGTCAGTCAAGTCAGTGCTTCTATGTGGATGGTTGAGAGAATTGGCGCATTATTGAAAAGCATTTCCAACAAACTACAGATATTCATCAAATCAACAGCTGCCAGCTACGCTCTCTCGATACTGAAGATGAGATGGTTAGAATAATAAGAATCAGCAACAAGGAACTCACTGTGGCTGGCAACAAACCAACCAAGAACCCATCGCCGAACAACTATGCACTGGAAGGAAGTGGAGATGAATTGGATTGGATTGGTCAGGTCGTCGAGTGAAGGCGAAAGGGGAAACGACGAGTTGGGAGTCTGAGGTGAGGGTGACATGCAGGAGATCGTATGAGGAAGAACTGAAAGCTTGTGGGCAGTCGTGGATTCAGGTTGAAAAGACTTCAGAGAAGAGAGTGAAATAGTGAAGTGCTATAGAAACCTTATATTTCACTAGGAATCCAAGCGACAAATAATAATAATAAACACCGCAAATCGGGGTAGGCGACTGATCAGTATGCATATCGTATGCTCGAGCTATCTAAGTCGAAAACATGTGACTGTCACATGTTTCTAGCATTAACAAACATAGTTCACAGTTGCAGAGTGAAAAGGAATGATCTACTGCATAATATACTCGTTGGTGTTAGTGACGGTTCAGATTGGGAATCGCTAGACGGCCTTCTTGTACTTTCAGTGAGATTTCATTAAAGAAAGGTTCGTTAAGGTTCTTGAGACTTTATAGATAAGCGAATTAAACTATGCATTTGACTATATCACTCCATAAACTTAAACCAGAGATTAGTACAGAACAGCTGTGCATCATCAAAGCATTTTGTCGATATTATTGTTCTGAGAAATCAGAGTTAAATCGAGTCTGTTGTGTGAGTACATAAGTAACAGTTAGATAAGAATAGTCAATACTTTTGACAGATACGATTGGTTGTCATCATTTTTCATGTTAACTCTCCTTTGACGAATATGAGGTCTATTTAGCTCATTTACCTTATTTCCTAAAGATTTTCAGTATTATTCATCAGGTTGAATGGTAAATACACTTGTGGTTAAATGTATAGTCGGCTTAGTGAAACTTTTCATTTCTGTAAATTTACTTGTATACGTGTAATATTCTTGAAGTTGTCAACTTGTTGATATTTTTCTTACATATCTATCAGGCTCTCCTTTCTCTTGCTACTGAAGAAAGTGAACATGTAATGTTGAAAGATGTAATGTCAATATTATCAAAAACTCGATCTTCTGTATCAAACTCTTTATTTAATCAAGATTGGGTAAAGTTGATTAGTTCAAGATTAGCTTTTTTCATGAAGACACCAGTATCCACTGATCTTTATCCTACTGAAGGGAAAAACAAATTAGAAGAATTAATATCATCAGTTCGTCGTACACAACATCCTTCAGAACTTCCAATTGTTTTATCCGAGTTTCTTATGGGTATGTATGAAAGTAATGTTTAGTATTCATGGTTTTTTTTTGTTACATAATTTATGTTGATGTAATTTAAAGAAGGAGAAATCATGGGTGACGGTTGTTGTGACCTCTTGAAGTTTCGAAACCTTGATTTTCATCATCTACATAATGTCATGCTAACGCGTATTACTCCTCACTGTAATTCTAACAGAATTCAACGATATTCGCTATTCTTCACTTTACCTCATTTCTTATTGTTTTGTATCTATGTTATTCGAGCATTTTCCATTGAAATGTCAGTTGTTCTACATGAGTGTAGAATCATAGGTGACGTACGCTTACAAATAAACTACTGGCTATTGTTGTAACAACAAGAAATGGCTATCTTAGTTCGATAATTTAGTGGATAATGTTCTGGCATTTGAAGCGATCGGTCTTGAGTTCGAATCCCGATGGGAATAACATCACTTACTGGGAGCCAGGCACATCCAACTGACGAGTCCTAAATAGGACAAAATGTGCATCCTGGATTCCATTGCTAACCAGTATTCATTGTTTCTTTGAAATAGTTAGATAATACTACTGTAAAATGTCTTGTTAGTAAATTATCTTAAGAAGTATACTCAGAGAAATTTCATATTCGCTTTTCTTAACAACAGTGAGAGTATAAATGAATTACACAGCAAGTATATTCACCTGAGTATTGACTTGTTACCAATGAAATTATGTAATGAAGCAGTATGTTTTTATGGTGTTTGTTTTCATATATTTTCCTTCATTACCTTCCTCATCTTGTACTATACATGATATCAAAGTGTGTTAAATCTCCGTTGAATAATTGCAGTGTCATCAAGATTTAAAAATATTAGTCCAATAATTTGTTGTAATAAATTTTTGGCCATGGTAATATTATGGAAATCCGCCTTTATTTGGAAGGTATTAGTAGAGGATAGAGATATTATGTGCTGCGGTAAAGACTTCCAGTGATTTATGAACATTTTCATGGTGTCCTGTAAGATGAATAATTTTTTAGAGGAAGAATAAATACTGATACCCACCCAACACTACTAACAACAACAACTAGAAGCTCCAATCACCATCGACAGGAGAAACTTAAAGGAAGTAGTCTCTTTCACCTACCTGGCTGGGCAGCATCGTTTCAACTACAGGCGACACAGGCACAGACGAGGACGTCGAAGCCAGTCGGAATCGGAAAGACAGTAAGACAGGCTTTCACTAATCTGAAAACAGTGTGGAGATCTGCTTCCCTACACTCAGCACAAAGTGTGAACAACATCCGGATTTTCAACACCAACGTCAGTCAATTCAGTGCTTCTATGTGATGGTTGAGAGAATTGGAGCATTATTGAAAAGCATTTGCAACAAACTACAGATATTCATCAAATCAACAACTGCCTACGTTGGCTCGTTACTGAACATCGATCAGATGGCCAGAATAGTAAGAGATGGATTGGGCATGCACTGAAAAGACCAACTGGGGACATCACGCACCAGACACTCGAGTGGAACGCAGATGGGAAACGATGAGTTGGGCGTCCGAGGCAAGGGTGTCATAGAGGAGATCGTGTGAGGAAGAAATGGGAGCTACTGGGCTGTCGTGGAGCCAGGTTGAAAAGACTGGAGAGAACAGAGTGTACTGGAGACGTGCTACTGAAGCCCTATTTATCACTAAGAACCCAAGGGACAAATAATAATAATAAATAATGATTAAATACGCTAAGTTAGAACGTAAATCATTATTCAGCACAAGATGCGTTAAGATGGGATCACCCTTTTTCATCTTACGATGAGATAGTGTCAAGATACCTAATCGATCCAGTTTTTATTCGTACGAGAGGTTGAAGAGTCTTTTGACCGTTTTAGTTTGTTCCATCTTAATCGAATCCCATATTTCAGGTGCATATTTGGAACATAGGCTCACTGGTTGAATCCTCTACTCTATCTTACATATGTCGGGTATTAGGGTCTGAAACAATGCTCTCATCAAAGCTCTCAAGCGTCACAAGATTCTAACAACTTCACAATCTGTTACTCTACAGTTAGCTGATGTTTTAGGATTGAGCTTAACTACACTTTCGCATAACTTGCAAACGATAGTGCTTCCATTTTGAGTGGTGTGCTTTTTTTATTTGCTTGTTTTTGTTAGCGTTACTCCCAGGTTTCCAAGTATGAAATTATTATTATTATTATTTTTCCCTTGGGTTCCTAGTGGAACAAAGAGCTTCAGTAGCCCATCTCCATTTCACTCTCTTCACTTCAGTCTTTTCAACCCGGCGCCATGACTGCCCACAAGCTTTCATTTCTTCCTCACATCATCTCCTCCATGTCACCCTCACCCCAACTCGTCGTCCCCTCTTCGGATTCCACTTCACAGCCTGATGCATGATGTCCCCAATCAGCCTCCTCACTGTATGCCCAATCCAATCCATCTCCACTTCCTTCCAGTGCATATTTGTTGAGTGATAGGTTCTTGGTTAGTTCGTTGCCAGTCACAGTGAGTTCCTTGTTCCTTACTCTTATTATTCTGGCCATCTCATCTTCAGTATCGAGTGAGCGTAGCTGGCAGCTGTTGACTTGATGAATATCTGTAGTCTGTTGGAAATGCTTTTCAATAATGCTCCAATTCTCTCAACCATCACATAGAAGCACTGAATTGACTGACGTTGGTGTTGAAAATCCGGATGTTGTTCACACTTTGTGCTGAGTGTAGGGAAGCAGATCTCCACACTGTTTTCAGATTAGTGAAAGCCTGTCTTACTGTCTTTCCGATTCCGACTGGCTTCGACGTCCTCGTCTGTGCCTGTGTCGCCTGTAGTTGAAAGGATGCTGCCGAGCCAGGTAGGTGAAAGAGACTACTTCCTTTAAGTTTCTCCTGTTCATCGTCATTGGAGCTAGTTATTGGTGGTGGTGGTGTTAGTTGGGTATCTTCATCACCTCCGTCTTCTCTACATTCACCCGAAGAAAGTGCCGTCTTCACTGCGTTGCCTTGCCTCTTCTGTCAACTTGTTAATTTTTGCCTGTAGATCTTCGAGTTTGTGCGTCATCGTCAGCGTATGCAATACTACTGTGCAATATTTTAATGGGTATAGAGTATATTTAAAGCTCCTAGTGGTTTCATACTGACCAATTAAATGTTTCTATTTACCGTATCACTCTGAATTGAAATAAACACATTAAATAAACAACGCTATTGTAACTATATTTCTTATTATTAGTCATTGCTTATTAACTGACTACTGTTTACATTTATACTGAATACTTTTTTCATTCTTTACAGATGGTCATGTACAAATAAGAACTGATCATAATCGTTCAAAGAAATGTGAACGAATAGCCTATCTATTCAATAATTGGCTTATTTTGTGTAAAAAACAAAAAAAAGTATTCAGTAATGTTGTGTCTACGCCTTCATCTAATACTAATTATGTGCTAAAAGTGAAAAAACGTATCTGTTTAGAACAATTTCATCTTATAGATTTAGCATCAGAACTTGGTGATAACAATGGTAATATGAAATTCTATTCATATTCTTTATTATTCATAATTTGGTATTCTCTGAGCTTTGGTCAACTTCTTTATGAAGTTAATGTTATAGATATCATGAAATCTGGCAATGGCAATGTAATATCTGGGAGAAAATATCAAAGTTCAGAGAACATCAAGCTATACTCATTCTTAGCTACAAATCATTGCATGTTCATTTACTTATTTATCATGTGTGTGTGCACGCGCGTTGGTTTTTTTTAATTTCTGGAGGAAACTGAGATTCTAAATAAACGTTTTTGTGAACAAATCACATTAATGATAAATTAGGTCAGCATAAAAGTATTCCATACTGATTCGAAAAAGCAAGACAGGCGTTCATCAGCCTGAAACCAGTGTGGAGATGTTCTGCACTCAGCATGTGGAACAAGATACGGATTTTCAACACCAACCCAGTCAAGTCAGTGCTCTTGTATGGTTCAGAGACTTGGCGCGTCACGAAAGGCATTTCCAATAAACTACAGACATTCATCAACAACTGCTTACGCTCGCTACTGAAGATCAGATGGCCAGAAAGAATAAGCAACAAGGAACTCTGGGAACGAACCAACCAAGAACCTATCACGCAACAAATATGCAGTAGAAGAAAGTGGAGATGGATTGGCCATGCACTGAGAAGGCCGACTGAGGACATCACGCGTCAGGCCAGTCACTCGAGTGGAATCCTCATGGGAAGCGACGAGTTGGACGTCCGAGGGTGACATGGAGGAGGTCGTGCGAGGAGGGAATGATAGGTTATGGGCTGTCGTGGGACCAGGTTCAAAAGAACTCAGAGAACCGAGGTCACTGGAGGCGTGCTACTGAAGCCCTATGTTCCACTAGGAACCCAAGGGACTAATAATAATAATAATAATAATAATAATAATAATAATAATAATAATAATAATAATAATACTGATTCCTAAATTATTATCATTAAGTTGTAATAATTGATGCCTGATCACTTTTATATAATTTATACTTTATTTGTTATTATTCTTGTTGTGTGACAGAACACACTTCGACTTTGAAAAAAAACCTTTGACACCGTCGACCGAAAAGTAATTTGACAGTTGCTTCAACACTACGGAATACCACAAAACTTTATCAATCTTAATCAAAAACTATATGAAGACGCCACATAACAAGTAATTCACAATGGAAAATTCAGTGATGCCTTTGAAGTGAAGACAGAAGTAAAACAAGGCTGTCTACTATCACCCATGATATTCCTGATTGTAGTGGACTGGATCATGTAACAAACTGAGGAGCGAGAAGAGGGGAAAACGCTGTTTGACCGATGAAAAGATCCTAGAAGATTTGGATTTCGCTGATGACTTGTGTCTAATGTCACACAAACTCGAATATCTACAGGCGAAATCCAACAAGTTGACAGAAGATGCAGGACAGCAAAGACGGGATTTGAAATGAACGTAGAGAAGACGGAGGTGATGAAGATACCCACCCAACACTACTAACAACAACAACAACAACAACTAGAAGCTCCAATCACCATCGACGGGAGAAATTTAAAGGAAGTAGTCTCTTTCACCTACCTGGCTGGGCAGCATCCTTTCAACTACAGGCGACACAGGCACAGACGAGGACGTCGAAGCCAGTCGGGATCAGAAAGACAGTAAGACAAGCTTTCCACTAATCTGAAAACAGTGTGGAGATCTGCTTCCCTACACTCAGCACAAAGTGTGAACAATATCCGGATTTTCAACATCAACGTCAGTCAATTCAGTGCTTCTATGTGATGGTTGAGAGAATTGGAGCATTATTGAAAAGCATTTCCAACAGACTACAGATATTCATCAAGTCAACAGCTGCCGTCTACGCTCACTCGATACTGAAGATGAGATGGCCAGAATAATAAGAGTAAGGAACAAGGAACTCACTGTGACTGGCAACGAACTAACCAACAACCTATCACTCAACGAATATGCACTGGAAGGAAGTGGAGATGGATTGGATTGGGCATACAGTGAGAAGGCTGATTGGGGACATCATGCATCAGGCTGTGAAGTGGAATCCGAAGAGGGGACGACGAGTTGGGGTGAGGGTGAGGTGAGGGTGACATGGAAGAGATGATGTGAGGAAGAAATGAAAGCTTGTGGGCAGTCATGGCGCCGGGTTGAAAAGACTGAAGTGAAGAGAGTGAAATGGAGATGGGCTACTGAAGCTCTTTGTTCCACTAGGAACCCAAGTGGCAAATAATATAATAATAATAATTCTTGTTGTGTAAAGTTTTCTAGTTTGTGTATCATGCATAGGAAAATTAAACTGTCTTATGGGGTGGTGCTTGGTTTAGTTAGCTGCGTGTGTGTGTGAGTGTTAGTAAAGGTGTATGGGAAGAGACAGAACTTAACAATTAAGGTTATTCAAAACATTCAAGCTTTCGAAATCATCAAAAGGTGAATATATGTGCACCATTGTGACCGATTTTCACTCATTTCACCAAGAGTCCTCAATCACTAAGTCCTGATTCCAGCCAGGTAGTCTGCGCCTTCCTACACGGCTCAGACTAAGTTACATTCTTCATCGACTGGTGATGCGTCTTGTTTTGGCCACCCCTAACCCTCTTGCACCCTGATCCAACTTCCGCTAGCACTGCACTTGTAGATAGGTGGTGATTTGACATACGTAGTGAGTATCCAAGCCATCTCATTGACCGACTTGCCTTCCTTGCTTAGTACTCTTCGCCTAACCTGGATATTACTCACACGGCGGTCCCATCATAAACTAACAGCTGTGATCGAAAACCGATAGTCTCTTCATGTATTTTACTTTTAACGCCCATGTCTCACAGCCGTATACCAGGACAGAACGGACTACAGCAGCGAAGTATACTCGTCCTTTGATGGGTAGTCGGATATCTCGCCAGTCGGCACCAGAGTTGATACAACTTGGGAAATGCCAAACGACCCTTCTGTGTCCCAGTTCAGATTTCTTCATGGACCAACCCATTCGCACTGATGTAGTTTTTCAAGTAAATGAACAGCTCGACGCATTCTACCACTTCACTCTCAATCCTCATATTCAGAGTTGGTACAGACCAGTCCTGAAGCGTCGTTTTATATCTAACGGGTGAGTACCACATGCCACACTTACTGAGGCTTCTGCTTAAGGCGTCCGGAAGACTTTGTAGTTTGTCAGCATTTTCACCTGACAGAAGAGTGTCGACTGCATACTCCACGTTGATTAGATACCTTTAAAGGAGTTGGTCAGTTCCTGTAAAGCCTGAGGTCCCTAGGTTTGTGTTCATTTGTCTTGACCAATAACTGCCTTCTTACCTTGGTTGTTGGGCTTGTATATCACGATGACCCAACGAGCTGCGCTGGTAGAATACTTGTTCTCTCAAGGTCCTACCATACCAGAAGTGTCTGTTGGATGGTGGTTAAACAAAAGCAGTTACCCTTACCCTTAACATGTTCTTAAACAAAGAGATAATGCATTATGATGGCTTAGATCAGTCATCAGTGGTTAATGGTAACCCAAAACCACAGGACGTATGTTCTACTACATCTTTCATAATACAGGCCAATTGTCGTGGTATCAAAGAGGCTATACGTGACCGACCTCAAGCAGATGTCTCCTGCTCTCTGTGGTCAAATACTAACCCTTCTTTTTCAAGTACATCAATAAGACCTAGCCTTCCACGGTGTGGGCAGCTGGTAAGTGTCAACCGCCCTCACAACTCTGCCAGCGCTCAAGTTCCCTCAGACCATTATCCATCTCCCTCATCCCTACCTTCTAATCTTCCTTCACGTCTTTCAGTTAACAGTCCTACATCTTTAATTCATTCTAGCTTTCGACAACAATAGGAGTCCACAGGACAGCATCCTTGATTTCCTTGAACCACATCCACCGAGCTCAACTCGATAGTGGACACAGATAAACCACATTGCTATCAGTCATCGCTGGAGAGGGGCGCTGGAAGACTGCTGCTCCTTCTAGAGCACATATTTGGGTAGCGACCACGCCTTGGTTCGAGTGCGTATATATCTGCATCTCAGTGGACGTAGAGAAACTGTAGCAACAAGGTCATTGCGAATGGAGCTCGACAATGAGAAGACTGAGACTGCTTGCAGTGAGAAACTGACTTGACAGTTATCGGAACAGAACAATATCACTCATCCAGAAGAAGCTTGGTGCCATCTCCACTGAGCTGTAAGGACGGCGTTGAAGATCGTAGCGAACTCTTAAAGAGTGGTTAAAAAGAGTCAGTGGATATCAGCAACTTCTTCCGAATTAATGGATGCATGTGAACTCATCCGTGTTGGCTCTGAATACAATGAGTGAACACAACTCAAATGTAGACTGACCGCTAATGGTAGTGTGCAGCGAAGGCTAAAGAGATGGAAAAGGCCTGCGGGGATAGGTAACAACAGATATTTATTTAGACTCATTGAAGAAACTGGGGTGAAAACGTCGATGGTTAGTGAGACTATAGTGGAGAAGGATGGGCCCACAATTTACTCGCATGGGAGATGACTGGAACGATAGACAGAACGCTTTGAGGAACAGTTCAACTTGCCTCCAGCTACTGTTTCTTTGCTTGGTATCTATTGGGAACCTGAATGGAACATTGAGAGAGGCCTCCACTACTTGCAGAAGTTGATAAAGCGGTAGGTCACTTGAAACGAGAAGGGTAGCAGAACTAGATGGATCACTTCTTGATGTAAATAAGGACGGTGGTCGAGTGTTTTTAGTCGAGTTAACTAAAGTGTTAACTAATGTATGGTAGTCAAGTATGATTTCCTCTGACCGGTTTGAATTACTGACTATTCCAGTCTTCAAGAAAGGCGAGAAGTCCTCTTGTGATAATCACAGGAATCAGCCTGATGAGCATTAGTGTCTAAGATTTTAAGTTCTATAATCATTAAACTCCCGATTGGAGCTCGGGAACAGCAAGCCCGAGAAAACTGGGGAAGCCTAAGACCTTGCTGGGGGTGTATCGACCAAATATTCACACTCCGTCAGGTTCTGGAACACAGGCACGCTTGCCGACGCCTGACACCAGCTATTTTTGTCGACCTAAAGGCGGCATTCGATTCCGTCGATTAAGAAGTCTTATGGTAATGTCTCTCACTGGAAGAAGTGCTGAGCAAGTACATCATCTATGGTGAGATGTCGACTGAGTTGTGTACGTTGAGTGGTATCCTTTAAGTATGCCCACTCTCTGTGCTAATTCAGTTTTATCGTAGACGTTCTTATAAAGGCCTCCTCGTCATCTGACTATACACGGATTGACTTGATCACAGGAGAACTTTTGGTAGACCTACTATACATAGATGAAATAGTCCTGTTAGGTGAAGGCGCTAATAAGATGCAAAGTCTTCTGGACACCTTGAGTAGCAATTTGAGAATGTTTGGGCTGGGTTTCTCACCTTCCGGATGCAAATTCTCGCTCCAGAACTGGTTTTAAGCGGTTCCTCGGCTAGTAGCAGAGAGTCAAGTGGTTGAGTGCGTTAAGCGCTTCATTTACCTGAGAAGTTGGATCATCCCTTATGGCTCGGTAGTCGACGAAATCTCTGCACGGTCGGCTTTTGCCAACTGACGCCATCTGTGGCGCCGCCGTGATATCCGATTGTCTATTAAAGGTCGAGTATACTCTGCTGCAGTCCGTTCTGTTCTAATGTATGACTCTAGGAGATGGCCATTAAACGTAGAAGACATGAGAAGACTTCAGATGTTTGACCACCATTGCCTTCGTCGCATAGGCCGTGTTTCGTGATGTCACCACGTGAGTAACGCAAAGTCAGGTGTGTAGTTTTCGGCAGGAAAAGTAAGTCAGCTAGTGCGGTTGTGAACCTTCATCGACTGAGATGGCTGGGACATGTGTTACGTGTGCCTAGCCATCGTTTGCCTCGTAGCACAGTGTTGACCGAAGTAGGTTCAGGCTGGTAAAAAGCTCAGGGCAACCGGACTAAAACATGGTATCAGTGTATGAAGTCCTTGACTGTTCGTTTGAGCCATATAGGGCGATGCAGACTAGCTGTTTGGGGGTTCGCGGGACAAGAGAAACCAGTGGTTAGAGGCTTTAGGTTATATGGCTCAGAACCGATGTCATTGGCACAGATGCGTACACACATTAACTGCTTTACTTAATCTCATCATCTCATTCTTTCTTCTCTTTTTCTACTTCCTTTAACCGATTTTCCCTCATCTTCCACTTTATTTCCTTGTTACTTGGTTTGGTGATATGAGATGTGTCAACTTGGACCGTTACGCAGTCATGTCTGGTCCTATGTGAACTGAACGTTGAATATGCATCTAAGTTACAATCCCTTAAGGTGGAGTTGGGTGGATATGCCAACAGTCATGTTGTTGTTATATTCTATGTATTTGCTTAAGAAATAGTTTCAAGCGATATCATACATTTATGAGATACCTTCACGTCTCTTATACAGTCAACAAATTTAAAAGTGTCACTTAGAGAGTGGATAGTCATTCATCTTCTCGCAAGCTCTAGGATTTCAGCTAGGCATTTCGCAATTGAACGGTAAGGAGATCCAGACACATTTAGAGTCGGACAAAGGGGGAGGGAGTACATCAGCTTTTTAAAGTTTTGGAAACGTGTAACGCCATGGAATTGTCGAATCTGTTGCCTTGATACATTCATAGACATCATTGAACCTTTTTCAAAGATCAGTAGGTTGTTGTTCCATTGGTTCCGTAGAGTTTGGCCACCATTTTGCCTATGTAGACACTTCTGTTTAAGATGACCACACTGTACTCTTGTCCGGATGTGTTCTAAATAACCTTTATTCCCTCTTGTCTATAATACAATATCATTTATGCTAACCAATGTGCATTCATGCGCTCACATGTTTGTTGTCTGTTGAGATGTTTTTAGGTGGAATCAGTAGGAGGATTTACTCATCTCTTTTACTGTAGTGCAGGTGTAAATAATCTGAAATTTAACTTGGCCTTTTATTATATCGGTCCAAGTTGATATTTCTCATAGCTGATTAGTTTTCCGACTGATCAACTGTAGTGCCAATCAACAGGGTTTCGGTTGGAAATCATTCCAATTCAGACAAGACCATCATAATGTGTGATCTCTGACATAAAAGTATCCTGAACTAGTGAAATAGTAGTGTGAATGAACAACTTAGAGTAGCGGTGGTATATTTCTTTAATTTTTTTCATCAATTTATGCTTATTAGATTGTAGTAGTTGTCCTTTGGTGTACTTAGGCTGTATTGAATAATAGTTAGATTGAACAAGATAGTTATGTGTTTCGGTTCTTTTGGCGTAGACCCCAATGTACTACAAATACAATGCATCAGGGAAGTTGACATCACTGAAATGGCAATAACACATTAATTACCACTTTCAGTACTATAGTAAATCAAGGTATTATTATTATTATTTGTCCTTCGGGTTCTTACTGGAACATAGGGCTTCAGTAGCACGTCTCTAGTGCACCCTCTTCTCTTCAGTCTTTTGAACCTGGCGCCATGACCGCCCACAGGCTTTCATTTCTTCCTCACATGATCTCTATATCACCCTAGCCTCGGACGCCCAACTTGTCGATTCCCCTTGGGATTCCACTCAAGGGCTGACTTAACTGACGGTGTTGAAAATCCAGATGTTGTTCACGCTTTATGGTGAGTGGAGTGGAGTGGAGTAGATCTCCACACTGATTGACTACAGGTTAGTGAAAGCCTGTCTTACTGTCTTTCCGATTCCGACTGGCTTCGACGTCCTCGTCTGTGCCTGTGCCGCCTGTAGTTGAAAGGATGCTGCCCAGCGAGGTAGGTGAAAGAGACTACTTCCTTTAAGTTCCTCCCATTGATGGTGATTGGAGCTTGTAGTAGTTGTTGTTGTTGTTGGTGGTGGTGGTGTTAGTTGGGTATCTTCATTATCTCTGTCTTCTGTACATTCACCCGAATAAAGTGCCGTCTTCACTGCGTTGCCTTGCCTCTTCTGTTAACTTGTTAATTTTTGCGTGTAGATCTTCGAGTTTGTGTGACATTAGACACAAGTCATCAGCGAAATCCAAAGCTTCTAGGATCTTTTCGTCTGTGAAACAGCGTTTGCCTGTCTCCTCGCTCCTCACAGTTTGTTGCATGATCTAGTTGAACAAAATCAGTAAGACCATGGATGATAGTAGGCGTCAACCTTGTCTTGTTTTACTTCTGTTATGACTTGAAAGGCGTCACTGAGTTTTCCATTGTGAATCACTTGTTATGTGGCGTCTTCATATAGTTGTTGAATGAAGTTGATAAAGGTTTGTGGTATTTGGTGGCGTTGAAGCAGTTGCGAAATTACTTGTTAGTCGACGTGATTATTGAAGGGGTTTTGAAAGTCGATGAAGTTGAGGTAGAGGGTTGACTGCCATTGTATGCTGTGTTCTATGATGATGCATAGTGTAGCGTCGCAGTTTGATGCGCACATGATTTGTAGTTCCTGAATCCAGCCATCCAGCGTGTTTTGGTCGTATATTAAGTGCAGCGCATGCTTTAGTCTCTCCGTGATGATGTGGCTTAATATTTAGCTTTGGGTGGACAGGAGCGTGATTGCTTGCCAGTTCATGCAAAGACTCAGGTTTCCCTTCTTTGGGAGTTTGACAAGGTAGCCCTTCTTTCAGTCTTCAGGTACTCTTCCTTCCTTCCAAACCTTGTGCAATAGTGGTGTGAACATGTCCGCTGTTGTCTTTGCGTCTGTTTTTAGTGCTTCTGGCGGAATTCCATCTGGTTTTGCTGCTTTGCCGAATTTCAGCAGTTTTATGGGATTCAGGACTTCTTGTTTTGTTGGTGGGCCTGTGTTAACTTGTAGTTCTGCTGTTGCTGGTGATATTTCTAGACGAGTTGCAGGTGGTGGTGGTGGTGGTCGATTCAAGAGTTTTTTGAAGTAGTCGGCCTATTGTTTCTTTTCTTTCTACTCTTTGGTGAGTAGGTTTCATTCACTATCTTTCATTGGTTTTATCTGCGTTGATCTCTTCCCAGATAGCAACCTGGTTATTTGATACAATGTTGTCAAGTTTCTCCTATCAGCAGCCTGTTCTGCTTCGCTTGCCAATGTGTTGTAGAAGTGTCTTTTGTCTTTGCGCGCACTCCACTTCTCTGTCCAGTGTAGTGTTTTATAGGTTGTGTTCAGTTCCTCTTTTCGTTGTTCATCGTTGCACTGGTTTATCTTTTGCTTCACCATCTTCCTCTCCAACCTTTATCAGCTTCCATGTCGAGGTCCGTGGAGATCCATTCCTTGTCTTCTTTCTTCTTCCTTCCTAACACGGTTGTGCAGGTTTCTTTCCACATAGCTTTCAAAGAGTTCTAGCGTTCTTCCACGGAGGTTTCTTCAGGGATGTTTCTCAATATCTCCCATTTTGTCCTGATGACCTGACGTGAAGATGTCTTTTGTATTTTCATCCTTCAGTTTCTGTTCTGAGTGTTGAACCTGAACTGTAGCCTATCATCAACTTCTTTGATGGCTTCCAACTTGATATAAAAGGTAGGTTCCTAGCACTAGATAGTTCGTGGTGTGAACCTACATCTGCTCCCCTTCTTGATCTAATCTTGTGTCCAGTAGGCTGGCTGCGTCTCCACTTTCTTCACATTGAAATGAAGTTGATTTGATTTTTAGTGTGTCCTGGTGTCTGGTGAAATCCATGTCGCTTTGTGAATATCCTTGTGATTGAATACTGCCTCCAATCACCAAGTCGTTGAATGCGCAGAAGTCTGTAAACAGTTCTCTATTCCCGTTCATGTCACCGGGTGTTTCTCGACCCATGATTGTACTGTTCCTGTGTAGTCCGCTCCCAGTTTGGCATTTATGTCACCACAGCCTTTAGAATTTTGGTGTTGCCAATTGCAGTCTTGTCTCCTGATCTGCATTGTTTTTAGGTGCGTAGCATTGTATGATTGTGACTTTCTTTCGTTTTGAGTTGAATCTTGCTGTCATGATCCTGATGGTTGAGGAGATTGGTTTTCACTTTAAAAGAGCCTTCGATAGTCTTGGGTACATAATGACAGCCACTCCAAAACTCAGTGTGCCCATGGTTGTCATCTGGGTGACAATATTGGAGTAGATTATTGACTGTCCAGTTGACAGTTTGGAGAGTACACGTCCATTCCATCTGCTGTCGCAGATTCTTAGCACTTCCATGCCATACGTTCTCATCTCTTTTGTAATCTGGGCAACCTTGCTAGGTTCAAACATAATGCAGACATCCCATGTCCCTATTCTTACTTTCGCTGTCGTCGAAAGAAGACACATCGGCCGACTGGCTTCTTTAAGGCTTTCACCACCTGACGTCATTTTGTCTCTCCGATTCCAGCGAGGAATACGTTTGTTTTTATTTTTTATATTTTCTTTGTGCTTTGAAGTTACCTTAGCGATTGGATTGGTTATCCGGGGTAGGGTTGCCTGCCCTATGTCCAACCTTCGCTCTTTATCTGGGCTTAGGACTAGCTAGTAACTAGTGAACTAGTTACCTAGGGAAGGTTATTAAATCAATGTAGTAGATCTTTTAATATTTGTTCGCTATGTTTTTCGTAAACTCATTATGATGATTTATGACTGTTCAAACAGACATTTGCAACGCATTTACGTGTTATCTGATCAATGTATGAACAATACTCACATATTTAACGATATGCTTATTAGTTATTATTGTTCTATGTGACTATGATTAATAGAATAATCCTATTAAGCTATCTTTTCAATACAACTTAGTGTATGCTATTGTGCACAAGATGGCCGAGTGCGTTTCGTTTTGTTGACTTGTTCTATACTACCTGGACTGTGTTACTGTAAAGATAGGCACTAGGTGACTGATTTATAACACACAATGATCTAGTATTATTTACTTGATGTTTCGAGTATAAATTACTCTATTGTTCATAATCATATCAATATAACCACACTACTTTGATACTTATGTCGCCTCGTGTGATTTGTTTCTATTGGTAGCAAAATTCTCCATATCTCTGGTATAGGTGTTACGTCATTCGATGAACAAAGATTCAGTAATCAACCTCTCTCTCTCTCTCTCTCCATCTAATTATATTGGACTTAAGTACAGTAGTTGTATCCCACCCTATTGTGTGGAGTTGTGTGTTAATGCATGCATAGAAATAGCCGAGTTGTTTTTCCAGATTATTGATCGTATTTAGGTATGTTATTCAATATTTAGATAAATTCCTATGTTCGGCTATTCTAACTGACCTCGACCGACTAGTTTGATCTATGTACTTGACCTGACTCACAGTCATTACATGGAATTTGATAGATTAGATTATTTTGCTTAATTGGTTCAATCGGATCCTTAAACCAGCTGACAAAGTTTATCTCTGAGTTTAGTTTAATGCCTAAAACTAATAATCCTAGCAGAATTTATGGCACTAATAAGGTTCATAAACCAGGTTTATCCTATTAGACCCATAGTTGCCTTCAGAAATACCCCAATATATGAACTAGCAAAGTACTTAGCTTCAATATTATGCCCTATTAGGAACCGTTCAAATTCCAGACTAGTAAACTCTTACGAGTTAAAACTTATGCTTAATGACCTACACATAGGAGATGAAAAAAAATGGTTAGCTTCGATGTTACTAGTCTGTATACAAAAATACCAATCAATATGGCACTCGAGGTAGTCAGAAGTCAACTAAATATTGACTCAGAACTTACTTACAGAACTAAGATATCGATTGATGAGTTTATATTAGGCATACAGTTATGCCTGACCTCCACAGTCTTCAAGTTTCAGGACAAAATATACAGACGAACAGAAGGAGTAGCAATGGGATCACCAATATCCCCAATCGTAGCAAATATATTGATGGATAGTTGGGGAAACATGGATTTACAAACGTTTAATCCTGCACCTAAGATATGATTGCGATATTTGGATGATACATTTACTGTGTTGAAATCGGAACATGTCAACACTTTCCTCATGCATATAAACTCAGTGGTGAACGCAATACAATTCACTTACGAGGTAGAGAATGAACAAGGAGAATTACCTATGTTGGATTGCAGAATAAAACGAAGAACAGATGGTGGCTTGAATACTACTATCTACAGAAAACCAACACATTCGAACAGGTATTTAAACCTCGAATCATCCCATGCAATGTCAGTCAGTGAAGGCAGGATTAGTCAAATGTCTAAATGATAGAGCTAGAAAACTGACTAGTCAGAGCAAGAACCTAAACAAGGAATTGAAACACGTAAAAGAAGCGTTAATAGTTAATAATTATCTTTCACAGTTTATCAGGAAATTCTTACGGACACACAAAAAAAGAAAAAATAACAGTCACACAAGTGCGACTAATAACGACAACACGAGAAAGAAGGAGTTCACAGCCTCCATTGCATTACCGTATAAGGAGGGTACCTCAGAAACTGCACATAGAATCCTCAACAGAGCTGGAATTAGGTTGGCATTTAAACCTAGTAATTCACTAAGAGATAAACTTTGTCAGCTGGTTTAAGGATCCGATTGAACCAATTAAGCAAAATAATCTAATCTATCAAATTCCATGTAATGACTGTGAGTCAGGTCAAGTACATAGATCAAACTAGTCGGTCGAGGTCAGTTAGAATAGCCGAACATAGGAATTTATCTAAATATTGAATAACATACCTAAATACGATCAATAATCTGGAAAAACAACTCGGCTATTTCTATGCATGCATTAACACACAACCCCACACAATAGGGTGGGATACAACTACTGTACTCAAGTCCAATATAATTAGATGGAGAGAGAGAGAGAGAGAGGTTGATTACTGAATCTTTGTTCATCGAATGACGTAACACCTATACCAGAGATATGGAGAATTTTGCTACCAATAGAAACAAATCACACGAGGCGACATAAGTATCAAAGTAGTGTGGTTATATTGATATGATTATGAACAATAGAGTAATTTATACTCGAAATAAACAAACCCAATATGGAATTAAATTCTACCACAGTACCGAAGTTTTACACACCTATATTACTTGGTGACTGAGCTTATGTGAAGCATTTTGCACAATGTGCCGTATAAAAAGTAGTTGTAGTCGTAATCGTTTCACTTCTGTAATTGAGCCTTGTGTGTTTTATTTCATAGGACAAGTTGTCTTTGAATGCATCCGGATTCGAGTCAATCTACTAACAGAGGTCGAGATATTCAGCCCTGTATAGCAACAGGAAATTACAAATACCATTACAATCATCATCTTTTGAGTTAGTTATATTTCACCCTAGTTGAAGGTGTTTTCTAAGGAAGTGAATTGGTTACCGTTACAAAATGCCTATTTATCATATCACAGTAATTAAAAGGCATCATGTAGTTGTATAGATTATCACCAGGTCATATTTTTGTTTTCAGTAATTTGAGTATGGTTGTTGAATTAATTTAGCTGACTATATTTTCACTCCTTTTTTTTGTTGTTGCTATTTTAGATGTTCTCTTTTTATTTGATTTGGAATTCTGGGAGACACCAAAGTTATCTTCAACTATTTCTTCCAGTTTACAACATAATACAGATAATCGAATATTATACTCTAATTCTACTACATCACAGATTGGATTACAATCAATTTCTTCTAGTCAAATAAATAAGAATCAATTCCATTTTGGTAGTGTATCATCTGTTTCTACGCTAACTAGTACTAATACATTGGTTGATAATTCGCTTAACTACTCTCAAATGAATTCAATTAATGAAGGTGATAAGTTATTAATTCTTCCTACAGCAGGAGATATTGCTGTAGCTTCAAATAATACCCTTATAGGGAATATATCATCGTATCCAAAACAACGTTTCACTTTTATCTTTTCTAATAAACAAGATAAAGCTAATTGGTTATCATCTTTAGTGTATCTTCATTTATCAAGGTAGATAATTTAATTCATAGCAAAGTTTATTATTTTCATCTTAATTATTTCTAATCAAACTTATTAATTATGCAGTATAATTAAATGTCTAGATTGTACCCATTTTCAGAAAGGTATTCTATACGAAACATATAGAAAAAAAATTACTGAAATACAACAGGAGGAGATGAAAATTTGAACTGCAGCTGGATTCGAACCAGTGACCACTGAGGACTTACTGACCCCGTGCTCTATCAACTCAACTACAAGGTCTGACTGATGATCAGATTTTTTATATATTTCACTTGAATTACAAGTGGAGTTTTGTCCGACTAGTATATATAAATTCGTGACGCATTACTACCGCTTGATTGTATTCACACTGGGTACCTAGTCAGAACTTCTCATTCCAATCGAAATTTAAGTCAACCAGAGAGAGGGGAGCATCATAATGATTATTATTTGACTGTCTGAGATAGCCGTAGTTTGACAGACTAGTATTTATACTGGGTGATGATTGATGATTTATTGCTCATATCGTATCAGTGTAATAACAAAACTTTCTGGTCTAATGTATATAGTTCTACTGTTTTCCAGTCATTGATTTAACTTATTACATATCTGCAGTGGGTGTTACATCATTCCGATAACATGTATCAGGTATCGATTTAATAAACAAAATTTCGGACATCAAACTTACTGACTTTCTATTTATCCAAGTTAGTCCTTTGAAATCGTTACTCTACGTCAAGGATGCATGATTTCTCGTCTTATTACAGTCTGTCATTGTAACTCATCGTAGTTCAGTTGCTGGAGCACTCGGCCGGTAACATGGTGGTTGCTGGTTCGAATCCGGCCGCTGTCTAAATTTTTGTCTCACCTTCAACTATCATCTAGTATAAATACTAGTCTGCTAAACTACGGCTATCTGAGATAGTCAAATGATAACAGAAAGACTTCCCAACCGTTTTAAGGTGGAGTACAATTCTAATCCATAACACAATAGTTGAAAATTGACTTTATACCAATGAGACACACGTCTAGCATAGGTATTCCTCACTTTGTTGTTTCATATTGCGACAGCTATCGAGGCTGACGCTATACTAGCCGACTAAAGCTTCTCATCATGGATGAATAAAGACCGCTGCAACTTTTGTGGGATTGAAATGGATTGTTAGCTGCTGTAAGACTGACATAATTCATTGTGCCTTATCTTTTCTCAATGGTTAGTTATGATATTTTCTACTGTTCTTAAGTATAGTATAGTATAAAGCTTTAAAAAAAGATAATTAACGTTTTCATGTTAACATCTGTTCTCTTCTCCCTTATCTTCGTCATTTTCTACGCTTATTTAGTCTCAGACTTACTTGCTGTGAAATCAGAGAGCATCATCACTGTTCAATCACGTCTTCCAGAGGAAGCGATAATCTTCTCTCTACTGTTTTTATCGGTTGCTGATAGTGATATGTTATATCTGTAACCACCGTGCGGTCGAGGACTTTGGATATGAAGTCACTGTCTATTTATGTATGAAGTTCATACTGAAAAGATAAAGGTGGCTTTCTGAGTACAGTTTTAGAAGCTGACCACCTTTATCGGTTCCGCTAGGTTGGAATTCTAAAAGTTTAACCTATTCACCTTTGTTTTTGGGTAGTAAATTATTAGTTGAAAAATACTGGGAAAATGTATTTAACAACAAACTCGAAGATTAATGGTATTTATTAGGGAATCGAATGGTGACAGGTATGAGGGTGGTTGTTACTTCGAGACTACCTACATTATTGAAGTTTACTTCTGCTTGCCTATAGAGTATAGAGAAGTGTGCCAACTTTTTCTGCTCAATTAAGGAAAGTTGGATCAGCTCAGTTAGTCAGCATCAACGCGAGACCTGGCACCGGTTTACGATAGTCCATGTTGCCACACTTGACATCACCATCAACTATGAATGGTAACTAAACACAGTAAACAATTAATGTCATCACACTCCGTACAGCCAGTAGTAGTACAGTTTCGCTCTGGTAACTGCTTTTAGTTTTGCACCTATCGATAGGCATTTTTAGTGTGGTTGCTTCTCAAAGAACAATCATTCCAACTAGCATAGCTTGATAGGTCATTGAGACGTGCCATGTGAACCACCTTTTTGAGGTTACAGTTGTTGATCATGTATATTTGATATAGTCTACGAGGTAGGTTTAGAGTTGGACTTAAAAACATAAGTGATGATAACTGACGAATCATTTCCATTTTTTGAGACATTCAAAATTTCCAAGTAATGTATAGCAGATTGGAAACTTGTTTTTGTTACGTGATACAGTCGTGTAGGTAGTATCATTGAGCCTCATACAATAGATGTGGCTCATTGCCTATTGCATGAATAGTGCACAAGGTAGCTGAGTGGTGTGAACTATGACTAATGTTTGGATGCTTTACTTAGGGGGTTCAAATCTTTTAAGGCATATCGATCGATTTGATGATGCAGACATGCCTTGATGATGAGTGGCTAATAAACACGAACCTTACCTAGGTAAAACAGGATGTCTTACCGTTTTTCTCTAACCAGCTTGCATCAAACAAAGCGGATTGTGATGATGAACCTGCTAGTTTGATGGTCACATTGTAAAAAGATCGTTAAAATTTGGTCAGTACTTAGGACTAGATAACGAGAAAATTGATTGCTCCCCGTTAGACAGTAAATTTATTCTGTTTGCGTTTTTTTAATGGAACGACTTCATTAACTTGTTTGCGCTAGTTATTTTGCATCCTAGGTTTCTCAGTAAGATTCAGTTTGCTGTATATGACATGAGAAGGCTTCAGGTGTTTGACTACCGTTGCCTTCGTAGTATAGTATAGGCCGTATTCTATGGTGTCACTACTTGAGTAACACAGAAGTCAGGTGTAGGTGTAAAGTTTTAGGGAGAAGAGGTAAGTCGGTTGACGAGGTTGTGAACCTTCATCGATTGAGATGGTTAGGACACGTAATACGTATGCCTAGTCACCGATTGCCTTGTCACACAATGTTGGCTGAGGTGGGTCCAGGCTGAAAAAAGGCTCGAGGTGGCCAGACTAAAACATGGCACCAATGTATGAAGTCTCTGACTGTTGGTTTGAGCGATGTGTGACGATGCAGACTATGTGGTTGGGGTCGATGGGGGTGGGGGGTGGTGGGTGGGGGAGAAGAGGAAGCAGTGGTTGTAGATTGACTGTAGGTGATATGGCTGAGAATGGATGTTATTGGTGCAGATGTATCCCCACACACCTTATCCTCATCTTAACAACTCTCTACCAAATCTCACCACTTTCTCATTCTTCGTTTCTCTCTTTTTGTACTTTATATTTCTTTTGACTTCATTCTCTTATCTTCATCCTTCACCTTATTACCTTTTTACTTGATGTAGTGATATGAGGTGTGGCAAGTTGGACCGTTACACAGTAATGCCTGGTCCTAGGTTGATCTGGATGGATATGACATGGAGAAATCGAAACTTATCTCACTCATTAGAGGTTCTTCACTGAAGTTTCTTCAACAACAGTTACTGCACCTTCATTTAAGCTTGTGTCCGACAGGTACTTCGATTTGAACCATATTTCGATATAGTATGTTTTTATATCTACTCGCAGTGTGTTGTAGTATCCCTTTAGAGTATCAACAGCGAAAATCAGTTTTCTACATAAGATTACGTGTGTTCATCACTCAGAGCCCGCTGTCATAAAAAAAATTGGATGGCACATTCATTATTCATTTTTTTGCGATACATCAGTAAGGTTTGTTTTTTTTTCATTCAAGTTTGTAAATCAATTCCTTAATCTGTTAATGTATTAACCATCACACTGAAGTGGACTCGTGGTTATTTGTTAAGACATACAAGATATTTCTGTAGCAGTTTCTACCTTACATTCTCTGTCCACTAATAATCAGAAAACTTGAAACACTGTCGACTAGTGTGGGTCTGAAGGTCGTAGGTTCAACCCGGGTGAGTATTGATTGTCCTATAATACGATGAAACAAGGTGTTCAGTGCTCTCAACTTCTCCATGCTTCTCCAAATGATATCAGTCCGTGATCAGTACCAGCTGAATACTGCCGATTATAACTAACTATGTGAATGTTCACACATACAGCATGATAACACCAAGACAAATGAACCACACAATTCCCTATTGTACAATCGTATAGTCAAAACACAAAACATAATGATAAAGCAAACTACACAACTAACTTTATTCGAAAATTGAAGAGATGCTTCGAAATTAGGCGATCTCATTTTCTCTTTACCAGTAACTTCCCAAAATTCAATACGAGAATACAATTCCCATTCATATAAAGTCACCTGACGTGCAAATTCAAGAGGATGAACCTGAAGTAAAATACAAGACATTGAAATTCATTCGAAAGATCATAGAATATATCCACAGAGTGAATGCACACAGTTCGATAAAGAAAAACTTCTATATGATGATGGTCAGTGAGGAGAATAGAGTTGTGCAAACAACTAACAGGGTGGTCACAGAGTCATTGTCAACATCAGAAAGCGAATTCGTAATCATATGGCTAACGTAGTTTCCTGAAATGAATGAACAATTATGGAATGACTAACTGCCAACACTCCCAGCTTCATCCCACTACCATAAGGTACCAATGTCACCTAGTGGATTCTCGACAAATCTGACGTCCACCAGTAACGCACTTCACATACCAGAATCCAACAGTCACTATCAGTTGTTTATTTACATGAGTAGGTAATTAATTCCCTTTGATTTCACTACATCAGATTGACCAACCTCTCTTGCCACTCGGTATTACATGCTGACACCTGAAAGCCGTCTAATAATTCATTATGCTATGATTTGCTTTGTGGTCTACAGCAGTAGAATTAGACAAACGCTCTTCATCATATTCGAGACTCGTCAACTCGATGCACCTACATTCCTGGTGGGTGATGGTGCTTCCATTGACACTCGAAACTGGCACCCATCGTTCCAAGCACCACTGCGTCATTCACTAGACTATCGAGTCACAAGGACTATCTCTTCTGCAACCGGAATAAGTTGTTATTTATTGATAGTGGGTCCCACTGTTGACCACCACCACTAAGTAAATTATGAGTATTCGCTTTCGGTTGACTTCAGGTACCTAATTTAGGAGGCTATTACAATGTGACATAGTTTCTTCACTCAACTGTCAAGACACAGAGAATAAGGTTCTCACAATAATGCAACAAAATCTGAAGTACACATGAATATTTATCGATGGTTCACACGACAGTGTAATTCCTTCTCTGTGAAGAGCTATGCTATGCGTTATGTGCCGTTTCCCTGTGATAACGCTGAAACTGTTTTCAATTTCCACTGCCTTTCAGATTGTTTAAACGCTATCTCACATCGATTCCACGTCAAGACCTTCCACTCATTCTACCATCTCCTTCGGTGTATCGGTAAGTGTTTTAGATTACTAAACTATTATCCATACTTCATCCCTCGTACATCTACATCTATTGGCATGAAATAGAGGAATAGAAAACGCGTGTCATGCAACAGATCTGTGAAATTGGATTGTAACAGATTTTTACTGTTGTGACCAACGTTGATTTTCTCATTAACTTGCAAACATATCATTTCAAATGCGTCTCATCGATTAGGTAGTCGTGGACTTCATGTACTGAAAGTTCTGATCAATCTGATGCTTGGTTCTCTCTGCATTTTATTCCCACTCTGGTCAGCATAGCAACACATAGTGATGTGCAGTGCATAGATAGTCCTGTGTATACTAGCATCACCTTAGTCGATAGAGATTGAAAGCCTCATTCATCAGTTAACATATGAGTGATGATTACTTGATCTCTGTCAACGCATTTTCTCTGTTTTTCCAGACAGTTTATTTTTTCGTTTGTTTGTAGTATCTGCAATTTAGTAGCACAGCTAGTATGTATAATCCGAAACCTCTGCCTTGTGGTTTTCTGGTCATGTCTCTATGGGTTTTAACGTAGGTTGTTACGTCAATCAAGATGAAATGTCAAATATTTTCAGCACTTATTATCGATCTTCAACTTCTTACCCTCACCCCCCCTTCTTTCCTCACATCTCATGGTCGATGTTTACTCATTATTTTTGATTGATCTCCACTATGCAACCAATATCGGTTCGTAGTCGGGAAACAGCATCTGGAAGTGCTTTTGGGAACTCAGACTCATGCTTTAAATTTCCGCGTCCTCCATAATTCAGACAACAAGTTTCAGTAGACAAAATACTGGTATCTCAGACCTTGGACATTTCTTGTGTTTATGAGACGTGCATACTGGACTTAAGTTCTTCCAGTCACTTTGGTGAATTTCCGAAGTTCTATTTTCGAGTTTTTGGAGATTCGACGTTTGGTTTTCGTTGTCTTGCAGATGTAGGTATAACATTAAGGTCTGAGGTAGAAACTGCACTGTTCGAATTAAAGGCATAGTAGAGTTAGCAGAATAGTGAAACTAGCAGTTGTCTTCATAACGTCTGCTTACAAACCCACTAACTGGAACTGGGATGAAGTGGAAGATGAATTCTGTCAGAAACTCTTCAATTTCCTACTGAAGGACAATCGTTTAGGTGTGGTAGTAAGTGGTCTTAGTGTACAAGTGTGTCGGCTAAATCAGACCATACTGCCCTTAGGTGTTACTTTTGAAACACAAGGTGAACTATGCAGCATGATACCCTCAGAGTGGTCTCAACTATAGGTTGTCGCATTCTTCAAAATAGGATAGAAATCATCTTGTGGTAAGCACAGAGGAGTCAGTCTCACGAACATAATGTAAAGTGCATGAATATGGCTTGGGATTAGCAAGCAGGGGGAAATATAGACAGGTTTCAGATGTGGTCATGTATCTATCGATCAGATACTCACTTTTTCCTGGATTGCGGAATAAATACACACTTACGGGCACCTAAAGCTGCCTACTATTCTTGAACCGAACGCGACATTCGATTTCGTCGATGGAGAGGTTTTGTAACTGAACCACTTGTCGCATAACTTCATTACTTTGTTTGTGCCGTAATCAAATATGTGTGTGTATGTGTTAGAGTCTGTGGTATATTGTCAGGTGAGTTGTGTACGTCGAGTGGTGTAGCCATTTGAGATATGTTTATCACCATGTAAATGCGAATTTTCGCTTAAGAACTGGTCTACTCTGGTACGCTGTGTAACTACAGTGAGTGAAGTGGTTGAGTGCGTTGATCACTTCAAATTAGCCTTGATGGGTTAGTGAACGAAGTGGTTTCTGTAGCAATATTTTGCACTATTTATGATACTGTCATGATGTGTGATTGCGTATGTAAGTTGAATATAGTGAGTGATAGTGCACTGTGTTCTAATATCTTAGAGAAACATCGATAATACAGTTAAAGGGCACACGAAAGCTTCAGGTGTTCTGTGACCATTGTTTTCATTGCATAGACCGTTCATCTTATTCCCACCTCATCAATAATGCAGAAGTCAGGCGTAGAAAATTAGGCAGAAGAGCTGTCACTTAATGAGTGTGTAAACATTTATTCCTTCAAATGGTTGGAGTATGTATTACACAAATGTAGTGACCGTCTGCCTTGTAATCCAATACTTACTAATGTTTGTTTAGACTGAAAAATAGTTAGGGACGACCGTACATAGAGTCTTTGACTATTGATCTGGGCTATATGTGGAAAATGTAAACTTCTCGGTATGGGTTGGTGTAACAGCTAAAATCGATGCTAGTAGAGTGCATATGATATGGTTGAGAGTTGATCTTACGTATTGTATGCCTTACTCATTTGTTTCTTATTTAGAATAAAGTGGTTAACATACTTTTGAAGCTTTGGTTTGAAATTTCCTTTTGATACACATATATGTTACTTAATTATTGGCTTTGTCATTTCGATTACTTGCTTGACTAATCAGTTACACAATATTTTAATTACATGATTATGTAAATTTGTTTTTCAATACACCTACTTTATCTTGTTTGTTTAGATATTCTACTCCAGATTCACCATTTAATATTCTTCTTGAACCTCCACAAACTGATGGCAGTGCAGGAATTCCTATTATTCGAGCTGCAACAATGTTGAAACTCATTGAACGAATGACTTATCATGAATATTTTGACAGTAAAACTCTCAATACATTTCTTTTGGCAAGTTGATTGTTATTATTATTTTCTAACACTACTTGTTAGATGGTTCTTTTTACCTCTGTGGAATGAATTGCCGTTTTTCAGAAGATCAGTATAGTCATATCACTTACTCATTGTGTTGTTATTGTGTGCTGATTGTAACTGAATGGTTCACCAGAACAGGCACATCTGAGAGAGTCGTATAAAGTCAAAAGACCGTCTAGTTTTCTCCTAACAGCAATTAATGGTTCTATATATATAATAATAATTAGTGAATAAATTCGTACATTTATATTTGATATGAGTTAATAGCAAACAGCGTGTAAAGCCAAAGCGCTACAGTTAACGAACGGTGAAAATGACCGGTTAAATATTGTTGAATACCAAGTCATAACTTTGACCAATCAGATGACAGCAAGTGTCCAGACGAAAATAGACAGCTAATCAGAAAAGAAAGTAAAAAACAATGAACATAAACATCAACTACTCATAAGTAATATAATTAATAACACGTAAAATGTTACTGTACTATTCAACTAGCGGTCGGTGATATCAGGTTATCTAAGCCATAGTTGTAACAAATGCCCTGAGTGTTTATAATCTGATTACATATCAGATCAGAATACCAGTAAAATTAGTATAATCATCGTATTTTCAACATCTGAAAATCCGATTGATTAATAAATCCCAAGCATTATATTATTTATTATTTATCCTTTGGGTTCCTAGTGAAACATAGGGCTTCAGTAGCACGTCTCCAGTACACTCTCTTCTCTGCAAATTTTTGAACCTGGCTCCACGATAGCCCAGTAGCTCTCATTTCTTAATCGCATGATCTCCTTCATGTCACCGTTGCATCAGACGCCCAAATCGTTGTTTCCCATCTGGATTCCACTCGAGAGTGTGGCCTGACGCATGATGTCTCCGAATGGCCTTCTCAGTGTATGCCCAATCCATCTCCACTTCCTTCCAGTGCATATTTGTTGAGTGATAGGTTCTTGGTTAGTTCGTTGCCAGCCACAGTGAGTTCCTTGTTGCTTATTCTTTCTGGTAAACCATCTCATCTTCAGTATCGAGTGAGCGTAGCTGGCAGCTGTTGATTTGATGAATGTCTATAGTTTGTTGGAAATGCTTTTCAATAATGCTCCAATTCTCTCAACCATCACATAGAAGCACTGAATTGACTGACGTTGGTGTTGGAAATCCGGATGTTGTTCACACTTTGTGCTGAGTGTAGGGAAGCAGATCTCCACATTGTTTTCAGATTAGTGAAAGCCTGTCTTACTGTCTTTCCGATTCCGACTGGCTTCGACGTCCTCGTCTGTGCCTGTGCCGCCTGTAGTTGAAAGGATGCTGCCCAGCGAGGTAGGTGAAAGAGACTACTTCCTTTAAGTTCCTCCCATTGATGGTGATTGGAGCTTGTAGTAGTTGTTGTTGTTGTTGGTGGTGGTGGTGTTAGTTGGGTATCTTCATCACCTCCGTCTTCTCTACATTCACCCGAAGAAAGTGCCGTCTTCACTGCGTTGCCTTGCCTCTTCTGTTAACTTGTTAATTTTTGCGTGTAGATCTTCGAGTTTGTGTGACATTAGACACAAGTCATCAGCAAAATCCAAATCTTCTAGGATCTTTTCGTCTGTGAAACAGCGTTTGCCCCTCTTCTCGCTCCTCACAGTTTGTTGCATGATCTAGTTGAACAAAATCAGTAAGACCATGGATGATAGTAGGCGTCAACTTTGTCTTGTTTTACTTCTGTTATGACTTGAAAGGCGTCACTGAGTTTTCCATTGTGAATCACTTGTTATGTGGCGTCTTCATATAGTTGTTGAATGAAGTTGATAAAGGTTTGTGGTATTTGGTGGCGTTGAAGCAGTTGCGAAATTACTTGTTAGTCGACGTGATTATTGAAGGCGTTTTGAAAGTCGATGAAGTTGAGGTAGAGGGTTGACTGCCATTGTATGCTGTGTTCTATGATGATGCATAGTGTAGCGTCGCAATTTGATGCGCACATGGTTTGTAGTTCCTGAATCCAGCCATCCAGCGTGTTTTGGTCGTATATTAAGTGCAGCGCATGCTTTAGTCTCTCCGTGATGATGTGGCTTAATATTTAGCTTTGGGTGAACAGGGGCGTGATTGCTTGCCAGTTCATGCAAAGACTCAGGTTTCCTTTCTTTTGGAGTTTGACAAGTTAGATAATTCAGTTAAACATGAACTCAACATCTAAGTGATCGATATGTTTTGATAATAAAGATGGATAATGGCTGGAAATGAAGTCGAAGACGTGAATGTTCTCCTATTTGAGACTCATGAAGTAGATATACTAGCCTTCTAATGAATGACATTATACCTTATCGAAACTGGTAACTGGCATATTTCATTTCAAAAGTTAAAAAATTATCCACTAGGCTTAATGAATTAGGATAATTTCACTTAAAATTGGTGAATTATGCATCATATGAGTAATTACAAATAGAATTTACCGATAATAGTGAGACATTCGCTCAAGGAATTATAGGTTATGATAATGGTGTGCTTTGTTGATATCCTTTTGTTGAATGAATCTGAAATCGCAATAGAAATTAATAAAGCCTTTGTTACGAACAACACATTGAAATCTTCCTTTCTCAATAGTTGATTTTTCCAATCGGTATTATGTTCAGTTATCATGTAAATATGTACGTCTCGACCGATAGCTACTACCTTGACGTGGTGATCGGACTTGCATATCACAATGACCCGAGGAGCTGTGCTGGTGGAACACTTGTTCCCTCGAGGTCCTACCATACCAGAAAGGTCTGTTGGATAGTGGTAAGACGAAAAGCAGTTACCATTGTTGTGTAAATTACTACACTATGATGGGGGTCTGAGGGCGAAATCGTAATGCTGTTAGCTGGATGGGGTGTGACAGTAGTAAGGTGTTTCCCTTGGATGACGAGCAGTGGCATGCTTGTGCTGCCTTCTCAGTGGAAGGCGGGAGGGTTGGGGGGGGGTCAAGAAAAGGTTGGCCCCAAAAATGATACACTCCGCCATGCCCCACGGTCTGCCGGTCCGGTTGTGTTGGTTCATTTGTCGTTTATTTTTGACCATGCAGCGCCAAAAATACAAAAGTTCGAAATAATCATACTGAAAAGGCTGGATGTGACAGGTGTCAAGCAGATATCTGATGGGCTCTGCAGTCACACAAATCTCTTTCAGGTGCCTTAAAAAGAAATAACCTTCGATGTTGTGGGCAACCGGGAAGTATCAACCGCCCTCACAACTCGATGATAAAATACATACTTGCTATTCATGATGTAAAAAACTTTTCTTGTGCTTTTTTCAACGTCTACAATATTAAATGTACATTTCACAAGTCATATGTTCATGAATTGTGACCTACATTTTTCATCGGTAAATTTTCACCAAGAAATAGTGTTATTGTTTGTATTTAGTGTTGATTATTCTCCCCCTTCTCCCCACCCCACCTTTCTTTTTGACCACAGACGTATAGACGGTATACTACAGCATTGGAGTTATTGGATTTATTGATAGAACGATTTAATGTACCAGATCCTGATTTTACACAAGCTGTTGAAAAAACCTTTAATTCAATTGGAGAACATGACAGTTTAATTACTTGTGCATTGCGTTTAGAACAACGTTTCCGTTCATTATACAAACGGCGTGTTCAATATAGGTTTGATTTTATTTATTGTTTCCATGAAAAGTTTTATCTGTAAAAGAATGATAAGAAACCCATATTCCTTCTACTGAGCCAATGATACTACTACTTTAGTAGGTGGAGCGGGGTTCGAACCCGTAACCCACTGGTTATCAGTTGTCTACTTTAGGATTAATTTGGCATTTAAATAATTGTATCCACAAAAGTTTTTATATTGTGAATTGTACCAATTTATTATAAAAATATTTGAAGATGAATTAAAAACCTCGATTACGTGGTGGTTTGATGCTGTATCAACTGGGGTACAAGAGCTAACAACTGCTGACCAAATGTTTACTTCACTTACTGAGGGTTTTGTTCAACTGCCATATGTTAAAACTGTTGGTTGACTGTAATCACACTGTTTAGCCAGTCACGTCTTCTCATCTCCATCTACAACAAGGTGAATTAGAGAGAGATAGCGTTATATTGTGATTATCAATAAGACTTTGTGAGATAGCCCCTTGATTTGGAAAACTGATTAGAGGGGATGTTTAAAGGTGCTCTGAAAACATAAGAAGCAGCAGTGTTCAAGTCAGTGGCTTCTGTGTAACCGACCATTTTCTCTACCTACCAACTAAACTAGTTGGTTGAAATCCGGTAGCGACCAAACCATGGCTATCTCAGATAGTCTTACCAATAGGTAACATAATTCTGTAGGTATGCATTGCAAATATATTTTTTGGTAAATTGTTTTTCTTCGTTGAGTTAATCATTCACAAAAGTTTCCCAATATTAATTCGCATTTATGTGATTCCAACTGAGAGACGTAGAGCATTGAAGGATGTGAGAAAATGGATCCATATGACATTTTACTGTTGGATAATATCTTTTTTTAATATTTCCACATTTCATGGATCCATACTGAATTTTACCTGCACATCATTAATGATAATTAGAATAGTAGTACTTTAATTAATGCAGAGGTGTATGCACTATAGCAAAGAGAATAATGCTAACTTCCGTTCAAATGGTCATTACCAGTACAGTGTGATTGCCGTGATGTGATATGAAAGACGTCAAGGTACTACAGTGTTTATGTCTTGTGCCTACTAATAGACTACGGTGGTGAGTAGTATGTGTAGTGTACTTGTGTTTACAGAGATTTTTGTTTGCATTGTGATGTGTCTGTAGATGTTTGTTGGTGTAAGGGGACGGTGTAATGTTTGTGGTCCGAGAGTGTTGTATTTGTGTATGTTGTGTGGTTGATGTATGGATGGGTTTTGTTAATTTGCAAATAAGTTAATGAATGCTAGGTGTTGTCTGCTTCAATGGGTCTAGGAGTGTTATTTTGGCATGTTAATCGTCAAGGTTTCACTCTTGTGATTCGTTGTATGGTAAGAACCATCGACCAAGAATCGAAGCTTTCTTTGCTAACCCTTCACGGGACTAGTAACAAGTCAACGGAGTGTACGGTGTCTGTCATACACATACAGTCTGGCACACTCACACCTACGCTAAGCAGTCTCTACAACGAGAATTATGCAACTCATTGTCACATATGAGTCGCCCCCCCCTTCTGTTCACAAACATTGATATAATTAGGTCTAATAAAAAAAATAACGTTAGTGAAATCGTTTCAGAAAAAAATGAATTCAGCTAACATTGAAATTTCTTCTCGCAAGTACCTGACTTGCAACTGAGTGATGGGTCATGAGTTTGAACTATACTTTATCTATTGAAGTATGAGAACCCAGGTAGTTATCACTCACCTTCATACAACAGATGTAACTGATTGTCTACTGCATAAATGTGTGTACACATTTTCCGGATACATTTCAAGTTTTCTCACAGAGCAAACTGTCTTCAAGTTGGATGAAGATTTTTCGTTAGGGAAGTTAAGTCAATTGTGATAAGGTTTTGGGTCTACACAGTGACTAATTTTTTTAAGTACCGCATTGCTATGCATGCTACTGGTCATCCTATTTTTGATTTCCTCTCTCTATGGTGTTTTCAAGTGTGTAACATTTTGAACTGCTGAGCTTTTTTGCTAGGCCCAGTGTTTTCATTGCATTTTACTGACCCATGGAAATTTATTGCAGCTATGTTGGTGATTAAGGGATTCAATTGTGATGTTACTTCTTAGTCTTACTGTGACTTTTAGTAATCATTGAGTCACCTTGTTATGTGTATGGTTATCTCTAGTTGGATGAAGGGAATTAATAAGAAGTTCTGCCTGATCTAGGTTTTATGCTTGTTGACATTCGTCAGCGTGAAGTATCTGCAGCCTCGACGGGATTGATGTCTCGCTTGGGATCTGGACCTGTGTCACCCATTACTATGGTTACAAACTTTACCGCTAGGCTATTTCGCTTATGGTTAACCTTCCGTAGGAATGGATTAAGTACATCGATTGGTCGCTAGAAGGTAACCACTTTCATGTTTTCCAGTCCTAATTGTTGGTCGAATTCCTTCGATCATTTCTTAATGTGGTCACCAAGTTGAGAGGTCATTTTGTTTTCTGCCAACGGTTCAGTGTAGGCATAATTATTATTATTATTTTTACTATTATTTGTCCTTTGGGTTTCTAATGGAACATAGGGCTTCAGCAGCACGTCTCCAGTACACTCTGTTCTCTGCAAACTTTTGAACCTGGCTCCACGACTCCCCACAGGCTGTCATTTCTTCCTCACACCATCTCCTCCATATGACCCTCATTTGGGAAGCCCAACTCGTCGTTCCCTCTTCGGATTCCACTTCACAGCCCGATGCATGATGTCCCCAATCGGCCTTCTCAGTATATGCCCAATCCAATCCATCTCCACTTCCTTCCAGTGCATATTTGTTGAATGATAGGTTCTTGGTTAGTTCGTTGCCAGTCACAGTGAGTTCCTTGTTGCTTATTCTTATTATTCTGGTCATCTCATCTTCAGTATCGAGAGAGCGTAGCTGGCAGCTGTTGACTTGATGAATATCTGTAGTTTGTTGGAAATCCCCTTCGTAATGCGTCAAGTCTCTCAACCATCACATAGAAGCACTGACTTGACTGACGTTGGTGTTGAAAATCCGGATGTTGTTCACACTTTGTGCTGAGTGTTTTTCAGATTAGTGAAAGCCTGTCTTACTGTCTTTCCGATTCCGACTGGCTTCGACGTCCTCGTCTGTGCCTGTGTCGCCTGTAGTTGAAAGGATGCTGCCCAGCCAGGTAGGTGAGAGAGACTACTTCCTTTAAGTTTCTCCCGTCGATGGTGATTGGAGCTTCTAGTTGTTGTTGTTGTTGTTGTTGGTGGTGGTGGTGTTGGTTGGGTACCTTCATCATCTCTGTCTTCTGTACATTCACCCGAAGAAAGTGCCGTCTTCACTGCGTTGCGTTGCCTCTTGTGTCAACTTGTTAATTTTTGCCTGTAGATATTCGAGTTTGTGTGACATTAGAAATAAGTCCTTAGCGAAGTCCAAATTTTCTAGGTTCTTTTCCGTGGTCCAACGTATCCCTTTCTTAGGCATAAATATGACTGAAGATAATTAACTTAGGTAACAATGTTCATGGAAGATTTCATTTTGTATCCATGCTATGTCTAACTTTTGTCTTACCATTTAACATCCAACTAGGACACCATTGTATTGTGTTTTAATAACTAATATTTTAGGGTTTTAAATTTCATCATCAAGTGGGTGAAAAATTCCTCTTACTATAAACTGGACATACTACCTAATGCTGTACTACGCAGTAAATTATGGAGCTTTTTAGATACAGTTGATGCTCGCAATTTATCCGATAATGTGATGAATATTCGTAAATCACTTCTTGGTGATAGGATAAGATTTATTCCAACAATTGGACATCCTCCACCTGAACCACTTGATCTTGGCATAGTTGGATCACCAGATGATGTCAAGTTAACTACAGTAAGATTTTTCGAGTGTATACTTGTGGTTATGAATCAATTTAAAGTTTTTACCATATATAAAACATTTTTCTGGTATATGTATTCAATGCGTAAGACAAGGTAGAACTTCGTACAATGGTTGTTGACCAACTGTAGTTCACAACAGTGCATGACAAGAAAATGGACTAATGTTCTGAGATGATTGTTTCATAGAGTATGTTATTTGAGGAAACCTGTTTGTTTGAATAATTGATGCACTTGTGGTTGATGATTCATTACTGAGAAGTCGGAAACTGGGAAGAAGTAACTGTTCAATGGTTCCTGATTTTGAATGAATCTCTAGGTGATGTGTTGACTGGTGATGAGAATTGGTTTGAAATCCACAAATTACCCACAATCCACACATTTGTTATATACATATGCAGCCTAGTTGAATAAACTGGGGTGGATGATGTATACTTGTAAACCTAACTGGTATCTGGTTAACTCATCTGATGCGTTTGGTTTGTCTACATGTCTTGGTAAACATGCCACTCAACTGTTGTACACTGACGATACAATACTGCTAGAAGAAAATGCTGATACAGCATCACTTGAGGTGATCGTTCAACGTTGATCTGTCATTGTAGAGTTTGCACTGCAATCATAAGTTAGTTTTAATATGTGCGAGTGTTTGTATCATAGAAAACTCTGACAGTGACTAGACTGTTTTCCTAAGCTCAGCAAACAATGAAAGTACTTAATGTGTATTTGGAGATCAACTGGCTAGCAATTTATAACAAATGAGGTTTTCATTATCTTAAGAGCTATAGCTAGTGAATATAAATATGATCTACTGTGATACCTCTCGAAACTTAACGAGGTGTAGGAGACTGAGTGTTCGAGTATCTTGAGAATATTTCAGTTACTTGAGGAGTTGCCTGAACTCCAGTCGGTAACTGATAACAATCATATACGCGTACGAAGGCTTCGTTCAATTTTTGTTAATCTAGGTCACTCTGTTCTTGGCTAAGAAGCATTTGAAATGATAAGTTTTCTAGTCACCTGCAGAATCAATTTGAATGTTGGAACTGAAGGTTGGTCACAACAGTAAAAATCTGTTACAATCCAATTTCACAGATCTGTTGCATGACACGCGTTTTCTATTCCTCTATTTCATACCAATAGATGTACGAGGGATAAAGTATGGATAATAGTTTAGTAATCTAAAACACTTACCGATACACCGAAGGAGATGGTAGAATGAGTGGAAGGTCTTGACGTGGAATCGATGTGAGATAGCGTTTAAACAATCTGAAAGGCAGTGGAAATTGAAAACAGTTTCAGCGTTATCACAGGGAAACGGCACATAACGCATAGCATAGCTCTTCACAGAGAAGGAATTACACTGTCATGTGAACCATCGATAAATATTCATGTGTACTTCAGATGTTGTTGCATTATTGTGAGAACCTTATTCTCTGTGTCTTGACAGTTGAGTGAAGAAACTATGTCACATTGTAATAGCCTCCTAAATTAGGTACCTGAAGTCAACTGAAAGCGAATACTCATAATTTACTTAGTGGTGGTGGTCAACAGTGGGACCCACTATCAATAAATAACAACTTATTCCGGTTGCAGAAGAGATAGTCTTTGTGACTCGATAGTCTAGTGAATGACGCAGTGGTGCTTGGAACGATGGGTGCCAGTTTCGAGTGTCAATGGAAGCACCATCACCCACCAGGAATGTAGGTGCATCGAGTTGACGAGTCTCGAATATGATGAAGAGCGTTTGTCTAATTCTACTGCTGTAGACCACAAAAGCAAATCATAGCATAATGAATTATTAGGCGGCTTTCAGGTGTCAGCATGTAATACCGAGTGGCAAGAGAGGTTGGTCAATCTGATGTAGTGAAATCAAAGGGAATTAATTACCTACCCATGTGAATAAACAACTGATAGTGACTGTTGGATTCTGGTATGTGAAGTGTGTTACTGGTGGACGTCAGATTTGTCGAGAATCCACTAGGTGACATTGGTACCTTATGGTAGTGGGATGAAGCTGGGAGTGTTGGCAGTTAGCCATTCCATAATTGTTCATTCATTTCAGGAAACTACGTTAGCCATATGATTACGAATTCGCTTTCTGATGTTGACAATGACTCTGTGACCACCCTGTTAGTTGTTTGCACAACTCTATTCTCCTCATTGACCTTCATCATATAGAAGTTTTTCTTTATCGAACTGTGTGCATTCACTCTATGAATATATTCTATGATCTTTCGAATGAATTTCAATGTCTTGTATTTTACTTCAGGTTCATCCTCTTGAATTTGCACGTCAGGTGACTTTATATGAATGGGAATTGTATTCTCGTATTGAATTTTGGGAAGTTACTGGTAAAGAGAAAATGAGATCGCCTAATTTCGAAGCATCTCTTCAATTTTCGAATAAAGTTAGTTGTGTAGTTTGCTTTATCATTATGTTTTGTGTTTTGACTATACGATTGTACAATAGGGAATTGTGTGGTTCATTTGTCTTGGTGTTATCATGCTGTATGTGTGAACATTCACATAGTTAGGTATAATCGGCAGTATTCAGCTGGTACTGATCACGGACTGATATCATTTGGAGAAGCATGGAGAAGTTGAGAGCACTGAACACCTTGTTTCATCGCATTACAGGACAATCAATACTCACCGGGGATCGAACTTACGGCCTCCGTGTCCTATGAGGAACATATTGTCTGTTAGATATTTTTCGGAATCGAATGGTCCACATTTCTTTCTACCAGTTCGCAATATGGCATGGGCATCTTCCAACTTTGGATTCCTTCCGGTTGGCTCAGTAGTTACTTGTTATCTTGTAGGTTTGAATGTCTTGGATGCGTACTACGAAGATGTCTCAAGCAAGTACACGTTGCAGCTGTCCATAGATCTCAAGTTTTCAGTGGTTCTCGAGACGGTCTTAATTCATGATGAATGCTACCTTGAAATGAATAAATCTCTATAAATGTTCAAACTATAATTGGTAATGGCCTGCGTTTTTTGAAGGGATTTCCAATAGCGTGTATTGTTGGTTTAAGGGTAGTTCTTGTCTGTTGAAATGGGCTTTATATCGTTTACACTCCCGAACATTTAATTTTGGTGTTGCTTTACCTTTTTTTGTTTGCTTACTGAAAAAACACGTAGTTATTGTGATACACGAATGTTGTGACCGAGTGGTGGGTTAGCGCACGTGGGTATAATGAATACTGAGACTCAATAAACACCTCAACCGAATACCTTTATGACTGACCTCCCTCAGTACTTTATGCTTCAGTGAGCCGTGAAGAAATCAGAAGAAAAAGACGGCCTTTGACTGTAAGAACAGCGACGATTTTTATTAGGCAAATACATGACTTCTATGTATTTATATAACTCTCAGTAGGTGAAGCCATAAATGAACCAATCAGATTCCTTGTATAAGGTCGGATTTCTCCAATCAGGTTCTCATGTCAGCGCATGCATAAATCAAGACCTGAACATGATCTGATCATGACTTGAAAACAACTTCTCTATTGGCTGTGTATCAACGAATGACTGTAAAGGCCACAGTGGCAACCGTTGAAATAACCAATCAAGTTTCTGTTGGGTTTAGACAGCTTTCTGTGAAATAAAGAAGTCTATTTAGGGACTTCTTTCATCATTAGGATACCTCCTAGAGTTACTCGTTATACCATAGTCTTCTATATATATGCAAACAATTTCTCATTTAATTTTGAGTCTTTTTGGCTACCTAATTCTATTTTTCTTTTATTTTCTATTGTTTTCGTTTAATTTATATCTTCTATAGTTTAAATGGTGGTTGGTTAGTTCAATCATGTCAGCTGATCATTTAGAGGATAGAGTAGTCATTATGCAACGTGTAGCTGATCTACTAATATATTTTGAAAATTTAAACAATTTACAAGGTGTTCAAGAGGCGAAAGCTGCTCTTATGAGTTCACCTGTATATCGTCTCAATGAGACATTCGAGGTAAGTGTTCCAACGATGGTGGAGATTATCATAATACAAAGAGAGGAGTATTGTTATGTGTTTGTTTTTTTAATAATTGATTTATGACTACGTTTCATTTAGATTGTCAAAGATATGAATTTTACCCAAACTGTTGAATTTTCTTAGCTATAATGTTTAAAATACTCGTCTTAATGAAACTTAAATTGTCTACACGGATACAAAAGGCTCGATTGGCTTTTGCCAATTTACGCCAACTATGGCACCGCTGTGATATCCGTTTGTCTATTAAGGGTCGCGTGTACTGCACAACAGTCCTGTCTATTCTACTGTATGGCTGTGAAACATGACCATTGAAAGTGGGAGATATAAGAAGGCTTGAAGTGTTTGACCACCGTTGAATTCGTAGTATAGTATAGGTTGTATCCCGTGGTGTGACCACGTGAGTAATACAGAAGTCAGGTGTAGGTGTAGAGTTATAGGGAGTAGAGTTAAGTCAGTTGACGAGGTTATGAACCTTGATGGACTGAGATGGCTGGTTGGGACACGTAATACGTATGCCTAGTCACCGATTGCCTTGTCACAGAATGTTGACTGAGGTGGGTGCAGGCTGGAGAAAGGCCCGAGTTGGCCAGACTAAAACATGGCACCAATGTATGAAGTCTCTGACTGTTGGTTTGAGCGATGTGTGACGATGCAGACTATGTGGTTGGGGTCGATGGGGGGTGGGGGGTGGGGGACAAGAGGAAGCAGTGGTTGTAGACTGACTGTAGGTGTTATGGCTGTGAACGGATGTTAGTGGTGCAGATGTATCCCCACACACATTATCGTCATCTTAACGATGCTATACCGAATCTCACCACTTTCTCATTCTTTGTTTTCTCTCTTTTTGTACTTTAAATTTATTTTGTCTTAATTCTCTTATCTTCATCTTGTGCCTCCGTGCCTTTTTACTTGATGTAGTGATATGAAGTGTGGCAAGTTGGACGGTTACACAGTAATTCTTGATCCTATGTTGATATTGATTGATTCATTGATTCATTTTGATGAATGGTTCCATGGACAGACGATTTATTGTAGACACGATTTGATAAGTTATATCGAAGCAAGTAGATAATTCAATGAGACTACACAATGTATCTCTTTGATGACTTTTCTTACTGTTTTATATCCAATATGAAAAGATGTAGTCGTAGTTGTAAAAATCTTTCGTCTTTCGTTGATTACACAATTCGATTTCGAGTATTTCGATATTAACATACCTATTGTTTGAAAGAATTAGTCGCTTTGATGAATTTCGATAATGTAATTAGAAGACGTAGATTATCTGAAAAACGTGTGTGATACATTTGCGCTATACATGTCGAACAATCTAATCATTTAAATATGGAAACTGGAATTGGGGAGAAGGATAGATGTGGCATGAAACGGTCGATTTACAGGAAACCCACTTGAATAGCGCAGTACGTAAGTTCCTATAGCTTTTGTTCAACTCAATACAAGCGAGGTTTGATATTTGTACGGAAAACTCAATGGATGATGATATCAAAATACTAATGGAGACATTAATGGAAAATGGATATCCATTGAAGTTTATAAACTACTGCAAAAGTCAGCCAGGATTAAAACCTAATCTGTACTCTGTTTCGAAGAAATACGTATACATCGGATTACTATACAGAGGAGAAATATAACAGCATAATATTAAAATGTAGGTTAATGTCTACTGTTAACAAAACGTACTATGCAGCTAAGCTTATCGCTGTTGAGATGACTAAACATCTGCTGCAACATAGACCTCAATGCTGTATAAACGATTGCGTCATATCCCACTGCGTTTATAAATTTACATGTATAGACAGGACTAATCGTGATATGCACTTGAGGGTAGAGGAACATGTTCTAAAATGGCTACAAAAGCAACTGCATTCACAAACATTGATAAGTGGAGATGGCAAACAACCATCATCAGCATCATTGATAACGCTCACAGGATTGATATGAAAACAGCCTTTACAATTTACTATAGAAACTGTCAGGGGCGTTATACTTAAGTTTGTTGAAGCGCTAGTCATAAATAAATTTAACCACCTATTGATAGGGTGCAAAAACAGTTTGTTCTTAAGCTAACCCTACCTTGGTAATGCTTATTTTATCGTATTACCAAGATTGTCTTCAAATTTAATCTTTTCTGCTTTTCTTTTGATTATCTTTTCGATTATTGAATCCCTTAATGTCATATTTGTCCTTCATCGACTTCCAGTTTTCATATCTGAATTGACTTGACAGGTGAATGTGTGATCAGATTGTTCGAAATGTACAGCGCTAATACATCACATTTTTCAGATAATCTACATCTAATTACATTATCCAAATTCATAAAAGGGACGAATTGTTTCAAATCCAACCAACATCATTGTAACTTCATTACAGATATTCATTAAAGTTCAGTAAATAGGAAACAATTTTTTATCAGTCCCTTGGGTTCCTAGTGGAACATAGGGCTTCAGTAGCACGCCTCCGATGTGCTCTGTTCTCTCCACTTTTTTCAACCTGGCTCCACGACAGCCCACAAACTCTCACTTCTTCCTCATACCATCTCCTGCATGTCACCCTATCATCGGACTCCCAACTCGCCGTCTCCCACCTAGATCCCACTCGACGACTTTGCCTGGCGCGTGATGTCCCCAAATGGTCTTCTCAGTGTATACCCAATCCAGTCCATCTCCACTTTCTTCTGCATATTTGTTGAACGATTGGTTCGACGAGTCCATATGTGATCAGATTAATCGAAATGTATAGCATGAATACATCACATTTTCAAGATAATCTACGTCTTCTAATTACATTATCCAAATACCTACTGTTACCTAACATAGATGTTATTTCCATCATTTTTTGCTCTCACCAATCTCTACTGCTTGTAATCGGTTACTAGGACGAATTAATCGATATAAATGACTTTAGATCCTCAATTTGTTTAGAGGAAACTAGAATGAATCTTCTTGCATGAATCAATTCGTATAAGGGTTTCGGTAAAACAATGGTTTTTGTTTACCTTTGGTTTTAATTTACCGGTTGTCTTTTCCGCTTATTTTATTGCTATTGTTATTGCTGTACGTCTAGGTATATACTTGTCTATCTCTTTTTTTAAAAGACACATGAATGTTTTCATTGTTTAGTTAACCATTCAAAAACTCGACTACTATCTGTTTCCTACAAGCAGTAAATCTCAGATATAGATGTAGCTAAACTGTTGCTTCATTGGAATTTGGGCAACTACTTTAGAAAGAGTGGGAACTCTCCTGAGATCCTATCAAAAGATAGCCTATGATAATATTATCTATCTGCATCAACGCTATGGTTTGGTGTTGGTGGACGTCGAGTGAATTAATGTTTCTTTTTATGCTGGAAATTAGTGCTGTTCAGAAACAAGTAACTGCCAAGACAAAATTACATGAATCATTCACCGTGTTTTCCTCTTCTTCGAGTGCATAGACGGTGATTTATAAGTACCTAGTCGAGAATTGCACCTTATGCTTTATTAACTAAACTATGCTTACACCAACGAGCCCATGGAGACTAACTTTAGTATCTTCGGACACTTGTGAGATGAACTTTGTAGATTCACCATAATCGTCAGGTGATGTTAATATCTGCTATCCGATTCGGTATTGGGTATGGACGTTCACATGAAGATGTCAAGTTGTCAGGATAGTTTTAGGAAACTTACAATGATATTTTTCTAGCTTGGATAGTCAGAAATGATCGTAGAGTGAGAAATTGCAGAAGCTGTAAAGGGGTTGATGCTGGGGTCAGGGAGTAAAATGCAGGAAAGAACATAAAGGTGAGGAAAGTCGGTTATAGTTACATGGGTCTTGTATACTCATAGAAGCTTGTGGGCTTTTTGTACTTCCCTGCTTGTCATACTGTGAAATTTGTTTCTGTAAAAAACTTGAAAGACTAAATGGGTCGTTAATAATTATATGTTATCATCGAGCCTAAGGGAGATCTACTTGAGTTTTGATTTGGAATTTGATTCTACTCCCACAGGACAGAAAGGAGTATGTCATTTTCTTGGCCGACTTTTTCTAATCTTTTCTCTTCCCACGGGGAAGGCAACATGAACTGCTGTTTCTATATGGGAAACACTTTACTACTGTCACATTACCTTCTAGCTTGTAGTACGACACCTGCAGCTTTACCATAGCATAGTGTAACTTTTTACTTTATAATGGTAAATGTTTTTATTATAATTACTATCCAATAGAATTTTTCTTTTTTAGGCTCTAATCACCAAATCGAAGCATCATTATCGTAATTTGTTTGAATGTCTACGCCAATCAGTTGAAGAGGATAATGGAAGTGTTTATTTCGCTGATTATCAAGAGAAATTACATCGAATACATCCACCTGGTCTACCTTTCATTGCAGTTGGAGATAAGACTCAATTGATACACTTAGAATTGAAGCATTCAGATTGGGTTGATTCTTCTGGATTACCTCTATCGAATGTTTCAAGTGTACATAATACTAATAATAGGGATTCCTTGATTAATTTTTGGAAATGTCGTCAAATGGCTGAACTTGTTGAATATTATTTATCATTTCAACAGACACCATACAACTTTAGCGTAAATAAGCCTATTCGAGTAAGTTTCTATGTTGCATCGTGTTCAGTGTATACATTTTTATCATTTAACTAGTCTTTATTCCCACGTGAATATTGTTACTTTTAATAGTTTGTAATCCCAGTTCACTAATTTTAAGATGTGAATTATTTGTCCCTTGGGTTCCTATTGGAACATAGGGCTTCAGTAGCATGCCTTTATTCCACTCTCTTCTCTGCAGTCTTTTCAAGCTGCTATCATGACTGTCCAGAAGCTCTCATTTCTTCATCACACGATCTCCTCCATGTCACCCTGGGACACACAACTTGTCGCTTAACCTTTGGATTCCACTCTAGAGTGTGGCCTGACGCATGATGTCTCCGAATGGCCTTCTCAGTGTATGCCCAATCCATCTCCACTTCCTTCTAGTGCATATTTGTTGGTCGATAGGTTGTTGGTTGGTTCGTTGCCAGCCACAGTGAGTTCCTTGTTGCATATTCTTTCTGGTAAACAATCTGATCTTCAGTAACGAGCCAGTGTAGGCAGTTGTTGATGAATATGTGTAGTTTGTTGTAAATGCCTTTCGTAACACGCCAAGTGTCTTCTCTACGTTCACTTGATCGATGTACCGTTGTCCAAGTCTCAAACCTACATAGTTTTCTCCAGTTTGCTGTTATCAACCTTCATTTAGACGTGAAATGACTATGAACCTTAAGATTTTGGATACAATATTAGTCAAACTAATTCCCAAATGGTTGTCACAAGATTCCTCTCCCGTTCTATAAGCTGAGATAATCAATGAAGTACACCAATCTCACGGCACTACCTCTGATTCACACACTACCTAGTTCCTCTGTCACTCTAATTAGCAACTTCCTACCTCCATCCTTGTAAACCTTACACGGCAAACTGTCAGGTTCTGCTGCTTTGCATCGTTTCAGGTTGGATACCGTTATCTTGGGTAGCTTCAAGGAGAGTTGGAGGACCGACATCTACTTCCCATTCATGTTCAGATCGGATGTTGGGCAACTGAAGCGTTGCTGAGAGCCAGTTGGACAGTGTCTCAAAATGTTCCGCCCAACGTTCAAGCCACCTGTTATGGGATGTTATCATAGTCTCATCCTCTTCGATGATGGTTTTACTCACCCTCGTCTTCTTCATTCTGGTATCCCTAATATGCCTAAATAATTGCCAGGTGTCACCCAACGCTGATGTCTTCTACACCGGCTTTCGCTTTCGCTTTGGTTACGCACCACTACTCGCGATCGATGCGAAGACTCTTGACCAACTAATGTTTAAGTTGCTTTGGCTCTTCGTCGGGGTCGGGGTCAGGGTCAGCTGGAATCAGTCTTCTCGCATCGATCAGTTCGGACGATGCCTCGAAAATTCAGTGACGTCTGCTAACCAACGGATGTGGGCTACCAACTCTTTTTCCTGCCATTTCTGCGCAAACTTATTATCACGCCAGGTTTCCTCAGGATGTTTATCACTTTGATGTTCAGATGAGTGCTTAGCTAACTACTTTTTAAATGCGTAGACTAGGAGTGAGATTCCGATGGCTGTGATCATTGAAAATTATTGCGGAACGAGATGCTGGGTATGAGGTAAAAGGTTTAATATTATTATCAGGAAATGAAGGCAAGGGAAGATATAGAGTTGAGGGGGATATGTTACGTTTGGGTTTTGTGTACTACTGGGAGCGTGGGAGCAGTTGACACTTCCTGTCTCCTCACAGCGTGAAAGGCTAGTTCTTCTTTAAGGTTCCTGGAAGAGGAAAATAATTGCGTAACCGCTGAGCCTATGCGACATCTCCTTGACCCCTGTCACACACAGCCTTTTTGCAATTTTGAAGTCTTAGTATTTAGCGTTGCAATCCGATTACGAATTCTTATTGCAATCATCGGCGTGCTGCCATGGGATGGGGTGTGTTGTTTTTAGGACTAACCTTTTCTAACCCTTCTTTTTGTTGGGAAGTCAGTATCAGGATGACATTGTTGGTCATCCAGAGAAACATCTTATTGCTGTCCTACCCCATCTAGCTAGTAGCAATACGACTTTCCCGTCGTATGTCGATCATATTATAGTAAGTTGTACCACAACGATAACTGCTTTTCATCTTACCACTATCCAACAGACCTTTCTGGCGACGTAGAACCTCTAGGTAACCACCGCTCCAGGTAGTGTAGCTCCTTAGGTCGTTGTGATTTGCAAGCTTGACCACCATATCAAATTAGCAGCTATTGATCAGATCTTCGCACTGTAAACATACATCATTATACACTTAGTTAATGTGTCCATCCATCCAGATCAACCTAGGACCCAGGCATTACTGCGTAACGGTCCGAGTTACCACACCTCATATCAGTACATCAATTAAAAAGGCAGGGAGGCGCAAGATGAAGATAAGAGAATGCAGTCAAAGAAATATAAGGTGCGAGAAGAGAGAAAGGAAGAATGAGAAAGTGGTGAGATTCGGTATAGCGTCATTAAGATGAGGATAATGTATGTATACATCTGCGCCCGACCGATAACTGCTATCTTGACGTGGTGGTCGGACTTGCATATCACAATAGCCCGACGAGCTATGCTGGTGGAACACTTGTTCCTTCAAGGTCCTACCATACCAGAAAGGTCTGTTGGATAGTGGTAAGACGAAAAGCAGTTACCATTGTGGTGTAAATTACTACACTATGATGGGGGTCTGAGGGCGAAATCGTAATGCTGTTAGCTGGATGGGGTGTGATAACAGTAAGGTGTTCCCCTTGGATGACGAGCAGTGGCATGCTGATGTTGCCTTCTCAGTGGAGGCGGGGGGGGGTCTTGAAAGGTTGGCCCCAAAAATGATACACTTCACCATGCCCCACGGTCTGTCGGTCCGGTGGTGTTGGTTCATTTGTCGTTTATTTTTGACCATGCGGCGCCAAAAATACAAAAGTTCGAAATAATCATACTGAAAAGGCTGGGTACGACAGGTCTGAAGCAGAAATCTGATAGGCTCTTCGGTCACACAAATCTCTTCCAGGTACCTTAAAAAGAAATAACCTTCGATGTTGTGGGCAACCGGGAAGTATCAATCGCCCTCACAACTCTATCAGCACTCAAGTTTCCTTAGACTGCTATCCACCTACCCCCTCATTACCTCCTAATCTTCCTTCATATCTCTCAATTAACAATACTACATCCTCTTTAATTTCTCCTAGTTCTGAAGCCTTAGTTAATGTGTACATGAAGAAGAATTTGAAAATTATTTTGTTATTCGTCCTTAAATTTTGTATGTCTATTAATTCATAACATGAGATTCATTATTACAGTAGTTGTACACTAAGGATCCGTGTACTCTTAGAGTATGACTGATTAGTACTTTCAGTGAACATTTTAATACTTAAGATGACAGTTCTGTTGAACAAGTTGCTTGATGATTATTTTGTTCATCAGGGAATTCTACTTTGCTGTTTTATTTTTATGTCTTTTATTCTGTTATCACAGCAATTTTTAGAGACACTTGATCCTTTGAAATTCTGGAGTGTTGAAAGTGAAGATGCATTTGATGATATAATGTATGAAAAATCTTTAAAAATTCAACCGAAACTTGCCAACTCACTTTCAACGGTAAGTTTTTTTTATATATTTTATTGTTTGTCCTTTGAATCCTCAGTGTGGAACAGAGGGCTTCAGTGGCACGTCACCATTTCAATCTCTTCTCTGCAATCTTTTAAACCTGGCTCCACAACTGCTGAGAAACTTTCATTCCTTCCTCTTATGATCTCCTCCATGTCACTCTTGCCTCAGACGCTCAACTCGTTTTGCTTGTGGGTTCCACTCGAGAGTGTGGCCTGACGCGTGATGTCCTCAAACGGTCTTCTCAGTGTATGTCCAATTCAATTCAATCCATCTGGACTTTCTTGTTGTGGATATTTGTCGGGTGATAGGTAGGTTGGTTTGTTTGTTTGGAGGGAGAGTTTGTTGTTGCTTGTTCTTTCTGGCCTTGTGATGTGATATGATGTGATGTGATGTTGAGTATGGAGTGAGCGTAGGCGTCAGTTATTGATTGATGTGTGTCTGTAGTTTGTTGTAAATGTTTTTCGTGAGGTGCGAAGTCTGTGAACCGTGATAGAGAAGGTGTGACTTGACAGAATTAGTGTTGAGGATGAGGATGTTGTTGACGGTTTATGGTGATTGCAGTGGAGTGTAGTAGATGTCCACATTGATTGAGTTTAGGTTAATGAAGGCCTGTGTTGCTGTCTTTTCGATCGTGGCTAGCTTTGATGTTCTCATCTATGCCTGTGCTGCGTATAGTTGAAATGATGTTACCTAAGTAGTCGGTGAGAGAGACAACTTCATTTAGTTTTGTGCTGTTGATGGTGATTGGTGCTTGTTGTTGTTGGTTGTATATCTTCATCACTTCTGTTTTCTCTACGTTCACCTGAATGAAGCCCTGTCTTCGCTGCCTTGCCTCTTCTGTCAACTTGTTAGTTTTTGCATGTAGATTTTCGGGTTTGTGCTAGAAGACATTCGACATATATCATCATCGTTGGCGAAATTCAAATCTCCTGGGTTCTTTTCATTGGTCAAACAGCGTATGCCTCTCTTCTCCCTCCTCACAATTTGTTGCGTGACGCATTCTACCACAGTCAGGTAAGTTTGCTTATCATGTTTATGTTTAAGGTATTCGAGGCTGATATTTATCATCATACGGTGAAAAAATCTTCAATGATTGAAAGTATTAGTTATTTGATTCATGTGGATGGACCGATGATTTTCACTTCTTGGCTCAAAGGTTATGTTGTTTATTTTTGAAGGGACTTGAATGGTTTTGATATAATTCGTGTTGAAGTGCGATAAATATCGATGAAAAAATTGTTATACAGTAGAGATGGAGAACAACAGTTTCCCCAGAATACCATTGATTCGTTTTATTTTTAAGTTTCTCATCAGCTGCTTACTATGTAAAACAATTTTTTTACATTAAATTATACAAAATGTTTCCATAATTCTAGGTTGTTAGCGGTGGATAAGAAACTTCGAAATAGGATGAATTCATGCTATTCTGCTAAAATTTGTTCTCTCTCTGTTTACATTTATTACAGGAAAAGAATTTCATGAAATTTTTTTTTACATTAACTGGTATATTTTCTACATACTAAAACAGGACATCTACCTGTTAGAGATTTGAGTCATTGACTTGAACACTCAAATTGACTTTCGGCTTCAAATCCCAGTTCAGATAATCAAAGTTGATTCAAGGCTAAATTAATTGGTATTGTTCACCAATTCCATAGTTGAGAAACAAGACAAAGAAGCATTTTGAGTTCACAGCACTTCAAATCTTTGAGAAAATTACGGAATAGATCGGATATAATCCTTTTTAACCCGATAAGGGGTCAGGTATCGTTGTGATGAATAAATCTGACTGTAAAAATCAAATGCTATCCATTCTTAGCGCATGCCAAACATTTGAGAATGTTTGAAATATGGTTTTCACCACCCAAATGCAAATTATTGCTCCAGGATTGGTCTTCAACGATGCCACGGCTAACAATGAAGAGTGAATTGGTTGAGCGTGTGGTGGCTCAGTGGCCGATGAGATCTCTGCACTAAATGCTCGACTGGCTTTTGCCAACTTACGCCAACTATGACGCCGCTGGAATATCCAATTGTCTATTAAGGGTCGCGTGTACTGCACAACAGTCCGGTCTATTCTACTGTATGTCTGTGAAACATGACCATTGAAAGTGGGAGATATAAGAAGGCTTGAAGTGTTTGACCACCGTTGCATTCGTAGTATAGTATAGGTTGTATCCCGTGGTTTGACCACGTCAGTAATACAGAAGTCAGGTGTAGGTGTAGAGTTATAGGGAGTAGAGTTAAGTCGGTTGACGAGGTTATGAACCTTGATGGACTGAGATGGCTGGTTGGGACACGTATTACGTATGCCTAGTCACCGATTGCCTTGTCACAGAATGTTGGCTGAGGTGGGTCGAGGCTGGAGAAAGGCCCGAGTTGGCCAGACTAAAACATGGCACCAATATATGAAGTCTGTGACTGTTGGTTTGAGCGATGTGTGACGATGCAGACTATGTGGTTGGGGTCGATGGGGGTGGGGGGTGGGGGTTGGGGGACAAGAGGAAGCAGTGATTGTAGACTGACTGTAGGTGATATGGCTGTGAATGGATGTTAGTGGTGCAGATGTATCCCCACACACATTATCGTCATCTTAACGATGCTATACCGAAACTCACCACTTTCTCATTCTTCGTTTCTCTCTTTTTGTACTTTATATTTCTTTTGACTTAATTCTCTTATCTTCATCTTGTGCCTCCGTGCCTTTTTACTTGATGTAGTGATATGAGGTGTGGCAAGTTGGACGGTTACACAGTAATTCTTGATCCTATGTTGATATTAATTGATTGGTTGGTCCTCAGCGATGAAAGCAAATTCATAGCCGATGTCCCGTCAGAAGATATTAGAAAATTGGAAGCAAAAGTAACCGCTCATTTAGTAAAACTTTTGAGTATAAATACCATTCGCAAAGATGAAATCAATTCATTGAAACTTTGGGATCCGCATTTCGAAATTTACGTGGATTACCTAAGAATCATAAAGCTAATAATCCATTACGCCCTATATTGTCTATTTGTCGTTTCCCCGCACATAAAATGGTTGGTAAAAATGTTGAATCTAGTTCGAAACGAATTCTGTAAGTTTTCATTGAAAGATTCTTTTCAAATTGTTGACTGTCTTGGTAACATGAATATCAAAAACAAGATTGTTTACTCTTTCGATGTAAATTCCTTACTCACTAACGTGCCATTGTCCAAGACTGTTAGCATTCTCTGTGACTATATATCCTCTAAAAACTTCCCATTTCCTAGTACTCCAACCTTTCTGAAGGAGTTATTGTTGCTGTGTACGGACAAAGTCTACTTCGCATTTGAAGGTAAACGCTTTCGACAAGTTGACGATGTAGCTTAAGGGTAGTCCATTAGGACCACTACTAGCTGATATTTATATGTCATATATCGAAAATCTGGCTGGTGATCCTATCGCTAAAGTTCCTCTTGACAAGAGATATGTTGATGATATCATAGTGATTTGTGAGACGCATGAGGATATGGCTTGTCTACTAAATAGACTTAACGCCGTACAAACACACATCAGCCTGACTTGTGAGAAAGAGAATAATAATCAACTGCCATTCTTAGATATACTCAGTCGACGAGAAGATGGTTCAATTACAGGAAGCCTACATGAACAGGACAATGCCTGAATTTCCACAGTTTTTGTCCAATCCAATACAAGTGAGGTCTAGTAAAATGCTTGTTTAATAGGATCTGTCGTGTCAGTATACCAGATGCGGTGGATGAAGACATCAAATTACTGACCACTTATGAAAAATAGATATCCAGCGAAGTTTATAAACCGTTGTAGAGGTCAAGTAGCGCACCAAAGCCAACTCTATGCACAGTCCTTAAGAAAAATGTCCATATCGCCCTACCATACAGAGGGGAGCTAAATAGTATCATTTTGAGACGTAGGCTGACATCAGCCATTCAGAAAACGTATTAGGCGGCGAATCTTACAATTGTGGAGAAAACAAAACACATGCTTCATGGAAAACCTAAACACTGCATCAGTGATTACGTCACATCTCATTGTGTTTACCAATTTATATGTGTGTGTGGTCACACATATATAGGGAGGAGTAGTCGAGTCGTGCAGTTAAGTGTGGGAGAACATGTGCCTAAATGGCTTCAAAAACAAATGGAGTGTGAAACAGTGATAAACGCTAGTGGGTGACGACCCTCATTATCTATAGCTAAACATACCATAGAAACAGGTCACAAAGTTAATACTCAAATAACTTTCAAAGTTTTATATAGAAACAGTCAGGGACGTATTCTAAGGTTTGCGGAAGCCACAGCTATACACAAATTTAAACCACCTTTATGTGTACAAAACAGTTTGTTCTTACACTACACATACCTTGGTAAACTTTGTTTTCTTACCAAGATTAAGATCAACTAGGTCACTTCCTGTTTGTTCTCATCTTTCTTAATTTTAATCCCCTATTGTGTTAATTGTTGTATTTGTCCCCTCCCTCCCCAGTCCTCGGTTTAATATAAATTGACTTGACAAGTAAATGTTTGATCAGATTGTTTGAAATATATTGCTCAAATACATCACATTGTTCAGATAAACTTAGTCTTCTAATTACGCTATCGAAATCTCGGTTCGTTTATTTCGGATCGAAAACCAAGGGATATATCATGTCAAAGTTGTTCAACACTTTTAATGAAACTAATCCAAATAATAATTTTGCAATGAAATATGAAAATGAGAAGAGATTCAATTTTTTTGGGTTTAAGTATAAGATGGAGATGTGATGATGGTACACTTGAGAAAACTATCAACACAAAAGACACATGAATTGGTCAGTACCTTCATTACAATAACCTCTGTCCTGTCAGCTGTAAGCGTAGTTTAGTCAGGACGCTATTCACTGGAATAAAAATGCTGTGCTCCAATGATAAACAAGAAGAAGAATTCGGGATAACTGAGAAGGCTGTTATAGAGAATGTTTATCTGAATAAATCCATCATGAAACATGGAAAAGAATTTATTGTGAGACCAAAATATCCAACTGTTGAGAAGAAGCTTGTTTTCATTCGCCTAACATTCAAAAATGATAAGACATCTGAAAGAATAAACAAAAGAATAAAAGCTGCACTGAGAAGAAGCTTCTCTGCTGCCAGACCGATCTCAGTTTATAATAAATTATACTGAATAACACAGTCGAAAGTAGACAAATATCCATTTCACATCACCTCCAACTGTATATCAATTCACCTGTGCTTGTGGAAGCAAGTGCATAGGATAGACTGAAAGAATGACGTCTACTCGATTTTATGAGCATATTCTGAACAATCTGTGTCTTAATGGATAACAAGGTGTTTACCATCGCAATCGCTAGGCATCTTATGGAAGCAAGACATCCAATAGATGTTTCTCAAACTTTCAAAATAATCAACAAGCAAAGAACGCCATATTTATCAAACTTTGTGGAAGCTCTCGCTATCAAACGTTTTAGACCTGACCTATGTACTCAGATGTTATTATTATTTGTCCCTTGGTTTCCTAGTGGAGTATAGGGCTTCAGCAGCACGTCTCCATTTCACTCTCTTCTCTGAAATCTTTTGAACCTAGCTCCGTGACAGCTCAGAAGCTCTCATTTCTTCCTCACACGATCTCTCCCCAATCGGCCTTCTCAGTGTATGTCCAATCCAGTCCATCTCCACTTCCTTCCAGTGCATATTTGTTAAGCGATAGGTTCTTGCTTCGTTGGTTCGTTACCCGGTCAGAGTTCGTTGTTGCTTATTCTTGTTATTCTGGCCATCTGAGCTGGAGTAACGAGCGTAGGCAGTTGTTGATGAATCTTTGTAGTTTGTTGGAAATCCCTTTTGTGACGCGCCAAATTTCTGAACCATTTAGCAGTACTTACTTGGCTAACTTGGTGTTGAAAATCCGGATGTTGTTCACGCCTTGTGCTGAGTGCAGTGAAGCAGATCTCCACATTGTTTTCAGATTAGTGAAAGCCTGTCTTACTGTCTTTCCGATCCCGACTGGCTTCGACGTCCTCGTCTGTGCCTGTGCCGCCTGTAGTTGAAAGGATGCTGCCCAGCCAGGTAGGTGAGAGAGACTACTTCCTTTACGTTTCTTCCATTGATGGTGATGTACTCAGAAGAAGACTGTATTTAACTTTTCTTTGCCTTGATAAATGTATATCATTTTTTGCACATGTATGTATACAATCTTCCTTATCCTTTTGATTGCATTATCTCTTCATTGATTACTTAACGATTTCCAGGTTTTTCATGTAATTACGTAACTTATTAGCCCTTTAACAATCCCTTCTTTTACAATGATTTTGGTTTGTTGTCCCCCCCCCCCCTACTCCATAGCTCTAGAATTTTCTATCTCATCAGATATAAATTGCCATAGATTTTGACCAAGGTATTTAACTAATAATCCTGTGTTTCCTTGACTCATTTACTACTTTTTCGTTAATCCTGGATTTCAAATCTCTATTTATTTCTGCATGTTTAAAGTATGCTATACTATTATTACTATTAATAATTGATTTCACTTTTTGGTTGTTTGCAGCTGAAGAGAGGCCATGAAATGAAATGAGCTCATTTTATTCTTCAAATGTCTTTTTGTTCTTGCATTGTTCTTGGGATGCGTATCATAAGGCTTAACTTAGTGTAGTGTATATAAACATGTACCTTGTTGGGTTACATTTTTTTTCTGACACATATACTATGTAGAACCTCTAATCTCCTCAGTTTCAGTTGTTCCATATATGAAAAACTGGAAGATTACGTCTACATGCATGGTTCAGATCCTCAGTAGGTGTCATAGATTGGTGACATATTCGATTCTGATGAGGCTTAGCTTTTCTTCAGTACAACTGTGCTGTTTCAGCTAACACCGAGCCTTATAGTGGATGATAGTTTGTGCGTACCTACTCTCAGGTGATAAAGTTTTGAAACAGTACCAATTGATTGACATATCCCTTTTACTTAAACTGTACACCTTATCTCTGCATTGTTTACGTGATGTTTCTGCTAACTGCCAGTAATAATACAAGGGTATTATATCATTATTTCTTATTTGTCCCTTGGGTTCCTAATGGAACATAAGGCTTCAGTAGCACGTCTTCAATGCGCTCTGTCCTCTGAAATCTTTTGAACCTGCCTCCACGACAGCCCACAACCTCTCATTTCTTCACACGATCTCCTCCATTTCGCCCTCTCCTCGGACGCCCAACTAGTCGTTTCCCATCTAAGTTCCACTCGAGCGACTGACCTAGCGCGTGATGTCTCCAGCCGGCCTTCTCAGTGTATGTCCAATCCAGTCCATCTCCACTTCCTTCCAGTGCATATTTGTTGAGCGATTGGTTCTTGGTTGGCTCGTTACCAGAGTTCCTTGTTGCTTATTCTTTCTGGCAATCTGATCTTCAGTAACGAGCCAGCGTAGGCAGTTGTTGATGAATGTCTGTAGTTTGTTGAAAATCCTTTTCGTAGCGCGCCAAGGGTGGTGGTCGGAAATCGGGAAGTCTTCTCATTGTATCCTACTAATCATTTGTTTTCATCTATAAATGTTGGGCTCTACGACACCGAACTATTTAGCTCAGAGAGCATATGCACACTTAGCAGAATCTAGTGGCTAGAGTTTTAGATTAAGTGGTATAGCATTAATTACTTTCAGGTGAGAAGGATTTATTTCATTTCACTGTATATTAGCTAACATATCTGTCTGTTATCGGTTGTAATTTAACTTGAAATCTCGCTTCAATAATTTCCAATCTGAATTTATTTTATTCATTTTCAAGGTATCTCGAGAGCAGCGTAGTTTAACATATGTTGAATTGAAAATTGCGGCTGCATTAAATCTTGTCCAACCAGATCATAAACTTACTACTGATTCTCGAGAGTTTCGTAATCTTATTCAAATGATTTCTACCGCTACAAACTGTTCATCCTCTTTAATGTCAACAAATGATCATCAGTTATCTAAGATCCCTACTGATAGATCTGATAGAAATTCGATGCAATCAAATGACAAGTTGAATACACCTGTTTCTACCACAGTCAATGAATCTGTTTCACTTGATGGTGATGGAAAGTCATCTTCGTTCTCTGATATTGACAAAACTGTCAATAGCTTAAAAAAATCTTCCGTTGGTAAGCTTTAGAAATTTCCTCCTTTAAATTGACTGATTTTATTCACTGTTTTTTGAAGTGTTTTTAAAGTGATGCACAGAAATTTAAGTATTTCAAGAATGGAGCATAAATTATGTATAGTGGCTAGCAATGGAATCCAGGATGCGCATTTCGTTCTACTTGGGACTTGTCAGCTGGATGATCAATTCAGTCCAATCAACGACGGTGTAATACAGAGAATAACACTAAAACCTATACCCGTCGCACAAGAAGTGGCCATCGTGGCTCGGTGGTGTAGTGGATAACGCTCTCGCGTTTGCAGCCGTCGCTCCCTAGTTCGAATCCCGGTGGGAACAACATCGCTCACTGAAAAGCAGGTACATTCAGCTGACGAGTTCAAAATAGGACGAAATGCGCATCCTGGATTCTGCTGTCAGCCACTACCCATCATTACTATACATAATTAAAACATAGGCAATATCGAGGCATCCGCACAGGAGCCCATATGCCAACAACGACCGACAAATTCGGTCCAATCAACTACGGTGTAATACAAGCTATAACACTAATAGCATAAATGTAGCTCTATTAACTTTGTTATTTTTTATGAATATATGTTACCAGGTTATTACGTCAGAACTGAAACTTCAACTGCTTATGCACAAGGGATTGAATGAGGAAGTAATTTGATCGACCTTTATTACACTACATGCTTTCCTTCTGATTTTGTTTAGGGTGAATAGAAGAAATCAGAAAAGAGACGTGATTATCTGGTACCTTTATTAACGAGACGATGTGTTTGTCAAGCAAGAAAATAGTTCTATTGAACTAGAACAGTTATCTGTACCAATATGATTAGTTGAGAGCAGATTAGCTAACTATGTATCCTTAGATTGACTGGCTTAAAAATCATGATTATTTGTCGGATGAAATTAATTTCGGAAAAGTAATCGCTATCCAGTAAATAATAAACCTAAAATGTATGTAGAATGACATGAGTTGGAGAACCATTGAGAACCTGGAAGCACTGGACAGTTGTTTAGTCCAAGCATGGAGACCCCTCAGCAATACACACCCACAACTTGTCTAGAGGTCGAACTTAAAACCTTCTGATTTGACAGAGAACATGTTAACCATTAAGGCACTGAGTCGAAGATCAATAGTCCACAGTTTCTTACTTCTGTCAACTTGCGTTATAGCACAACTATCCACCATAGTCTTCAGTTGGTTTCAATGTCACTTCCGATTGGTTGATTCCAAGGAGTCATGGCTTGTAATTAGATCTTCGGGATATCTATTTCGAAGCGTGAAATCCTCACTTTATCGAGAATTATTAGAGATTTTCGTTTTGTAGTGATGATGTTGTACTAAGGCGCATTTTAAAGAGTGTTACCAATCACATTGACTGATTCTTCATCGTTTTTCATTGGGCCATAAGTGGGAGGAGCGATAGGAAATTCTACATAAAATGATTATTTTTCCCTACACTGATTTAAATTAGTCTGCTGTGGGCCAAATATTAAATCCCTTTTAGAATTGAAAATAGCTAGTAGTATAGAGGAGAATGGTATGATAGTGTAAAGAGGTGTTCGAATAGATAAAATTGGTTAGGGTTTGAAAAAGGACAAGGAGGGTTGCTGCGTACTCCTGAAAGATGAAAATCGGGGATAAATAAAATTTGATTAAGAACATAGTAGGGAGTATACTTGAAATCGCTCATAAAAATGAAAATAAAGGGGGGGGGGGGAAGAGCATTTTTAGAGATCTGTAGATGAGATCATTTATTAAATGGATCTTCTTTCTTTCCATTACAATCCTTCTTTTTTTTCCTGTTATTTTAAAAAAACATATTTTTATTCTAATCTAACTATTTTTTCATAATTTTCATTGTTATTACAGTTGATCATGTTGCTGAGACAACTGTGCACACCACTTTATCTACTGACAGTGATAGATCTGTAATCACATCAATCAAGTTATCAAATGTCACTACACCTACAAAAATTGATGATGATGATGATATATATACTGTGAATTCTTCACCACCTCCTTTACCACCTCGAATAGGTCAGTCGTTTCGTGAGACATCTTCGTCGCAGATGCTTCTTCATAACTCATGTAGTTTGAAATTAGCGCATAACAAAGGTAGGTATTATATTTGGGTGGACTACTTTACACTGAACACAATTCATGCTAATATTCTTTTCATTTCACCTTCAAGAATAACTGTGTTCTTCAGTTCTTCTTTGTTTCTCTTCTGTATTTCTTTCCTTCGTGTTCAGACAATTTGTAAATCGTATATTAAGTTAAAATTCATCATGGACTGATAACAGTTGAAAGAACATTGGGAACCTGAGGGCACTGGACAGCTGTTTCGTCCTAGTGTGCGACTCAGCAGTGCGCACCGACTACTTCACTAGTCATCGTACTCAGGACCTTCAGGTTCCGTGGGTCGGAATTCATTCGTCTTCATTTCTTACTTCTGTCAGTCCACGATATAGTGGGGCCTACACCCAATGTCGACTCAGAGTAATTATCTTCATGTTCGACTTGGTTGACTCCACTGGTCACAAATTTTTGTTCGGGACTTCAGGTATCACTTCTCGAAGCTAGTCAACAATGAGCGTTAGATTAATTCTATCTGGAGGTTTGTGGAGATTTATGAATTGATTTTAGGTTGGAATTCATCATATTTAATTAAAATCATAGAATATCGGTTCATACAACTCTCCTAACCAGATTTAGATGATCTGAACAATTCAAGCCTGTGAGCTGAATTTGTCTGGGTACTCCGTTGGTATGAGTTTGACCCCCGAACAAGCTGAACTATCATCCTATGATTAGATCATTCCTATATGAGTGACAAAATCTATATATCAATCCGGATGGTTTCTAACTACTCAAGTTGCACAGTAGTATTATCTTAAGTGAATGAGACTTTTGTGTCAAAAATTACACCTTGTGAAATACCCTGATCGGTTCCCAACAGAAACCATGTTAACTGGCACCACAGTTGAGCAGTTGAAAAAACTACTCGGCTGTGAGAAATATCACCGTGAACTGTGAAATTTGTAAATCATTTTCAAATCGATATTAACTGTAACTGCTCTTCCCGTTCACATTACCCCATTATTATTATTTGTCCCTTGGGTTCTTAATGGAACATAGGGCTTCAGTAGCACATCGACATTTCACTCTCTTCTCTGCAGTCTCTTGAACCTAGCTCCACGATTGCCCACAAGCTGTCATTTCTTTCTCACACCATCTGCTCCATTTCACCCAGCTCATCGTTTTGCCTTTGAGTTGCACTTGAGGGTATGGCCTGACGCGTGATGTCCCTAAACGGTCTTGTCAGTGTATGTCCAATTCAATTCAATGCATTTGGACTTTCTTGTTGTGGATATTTTGTCAGGTGATGGGTAGGTTGTTGGTTGGTTGATTGGTTGGTTTGTTTGTTTGGAGGGGAGAGTTTGTTGTTGCTTGTTCTTTCTGACCTTGTGATGTGATATGATGTGATGTGATGTGATGTTGAGTATGGAGTGAGCGTAGGCGTCAGTTATTGATTGATGTGTGTCTGTAGTTTGTTGTAAATGTTTTTCGTGAGGTGCGAAGTCTGTGAACCGTGATAGAGAAGGTGTGACTTGACAGAATTAGTGTTGAGGATGAGGATGTTGTTGACGGTTTATGGTGATTGCAGTGGAGTGTAGTAGATGTCCACATTGATTGAGTTTAGGTTGATGAAGGCCTGTGTTGCTGTCTTTTCGATCGTGGCTGGTTTTGACGTCCTTATGTGTGCCTGTGCTGCGTATAGTTGAAATGATGTTACCTAAGTAGTCGATGAGAGAGACAACTTCATTTAGTTTTGTGCTGTTGATGGTGATTGTTGCTTGCTTTTGCGGTACATATACTAAAATTGGAACGATACGGAGAGAGGATTAGTATGACCGCTCTGCGAGGATGACATGGAAAATCGTTATTCGTTCCATATTTTTTAACCTTGCCTTGTCAACTAGTTCAGTGGTTACTAGGTGGCCTTAAGGTTGGATGAAGAGGGAAGGTTGAGCATGGCGCTACCAACCTTACCCCGTAAAGCTAATGTAATCGCTAAAGAAACTTGAAAGCAGAAAGGAAATAATAAAAAGGTAAACAAATGTCTGTTGATTGTAGATATATTTGTAGACAGTTGGGAACCGATGGCGTTAGGAACATTCCAACCCAACTCAAAGTGTTATAGTGACAAATAGATGACTCATTTATTGTGTTCAAGCGAGAACATATCAGTAACCTACTGATTATTTTCCCATCGATTGTTGTTCTGTCGAGTATTTATGATAGATCTTGTTCCTAGGTCAGCTAAATTTGATGTTTTGTTTATTTCGTTTTACTTGGTTCAACTATTCTTCACGGATTTTAACCTTATTGTTTCGACTATAGTGTTCCAGTTAGTGTCTTTCGATTGTCATTTCATCTGAATGTCAATAGTACAAGAATTCTATTTCATGTATCAACCTTTTATGTTTTAGAATCTCATTCAGAGCGATCGCGAATAATAATAATCTGATTAAGGCAAACCAGTTAACTACTTAACATTCAGTAGTCACGTGATAATTGAATGTTAATGAACTGAATTCTACCTCAGAACTCTCTTTCCCATACATAGTTATAGAATAACACTTAAAAGGGCGAGAATACTGCACTACAATCCATCATGTCCTGTTTTCTGACTGTGATATATGGCCGTTGAAAGTAGAAGGCATGAAGTGGTTAAAGGGTGTTGATCACAGGTGTCTTTATATCATTGTTGCGGTTTAGTGTAATCACTGTGTGACTAATGTTGAAGTCAGATGAAGGATACTAAACAAGAAAGGTAAGTCTATTGAAGAGGTTGTGAACCTTAGTCGACTGAGTTAGCTTGGACATGTATTGCGCATGCGGCGCCATCGCCTACCTTGAAATGCCGTGGAAAGGTGAGTTAGATTAGTTTGGAAGATGGTTCAGGGTTCCCAGACCAAGATGTGGCACCAGTCCATGAAGTCCTTGACTGCTGGTCTGCATTGTGTAGGGAGATGTAGACTTTCTTGTTGGGGTCCCTTAGGCGAAAGGAATAAGTGGTTGAGGGCTGACTTTTGGTGATATGGATGAAAATGGGTCACAATGACGCAAATGTATTAACTCACTGACATCTAAAGCTTGAATATTCGCATTAACCTTTATCTTTGGATTGTTTATGCTTTCATGCAACTTTGTCTACTTTGATACCTTTCTTTTCCTATCCACCTGTTTTTTTGTTCTACCGTGAATTTTGGCAACTTGAGCCGATTCAGTTGTGTGTGAGGTTCTACGTTCTATTTGTCTGTCTATCTGTTACTATCTGACTTCGTATCCCTAAACAACAACATATTTCAAATCACGTAAGATTCAAGCTGCTTCTAAAAACACGTAACTTGTTCAGTCGGTCAACTTGCGATACAAATCGAATCATTATTGCATAAAGGTCTTTGTTCTCACATCCAATTTTTGCACAATAAGCTATAAGGCACCAACATTAAACATACAGACAATAGTTGAAGCGCTAGAGAATAGTTGAAATGGAACGCGAATCAATGAAAATCTGCTTAACGATCAAGATAATATGTGGATGTTACTGTCCCACTAAGATCGATATTCAACCACATCATGTACACTCTACAATCATCGACTTCAGCTGTCACACCAACCCTTACCGAGAAGTCTACATTTCCTCACATGACACAGACCAATAGTCGAAGACTCTATGGACTGATGTCATGTTATTGTCCAGCCGTCTCTTATCATTCTGTAGTCTAAATTAACTTGAGAAAGTATTACACTCAATCACTTCACTCCTTATCATTGAACTGGGAGTGGTTGAAGACCTGTCATCGGACAATCTTACATTTGACAGGTACCAACGAAGCGTCTGACAAACATATTTAGATTTCTGCTCAGGATGTTCTGAAAACCCTGCATTTTGTCAGCATCTTCACCCAGAAGAACAATATTGGGTTCATTTTACGAATTATTCAGACGACCTTTAATGATTAGTGTTATAGAATGTTATAGTATCCTTTAGATTCCTCTAAGTAACATAGAAATCCCTGAAAGGCCTCCGCAGCCAATCATGGCGTGCTGAGCGTTTACGAAAAATCATGAGATCATATGTGTAAATCTCGGCTTGGCTGAAGGACTTTCTAAGAAAATGTCGAACTTTCCAAAGCCATCGACTTGTATTTGTGAACCATCACTTTTTGTAAATGCTCGGCTTGACAATTAACCCTCATTGCTATCTCAGCTTTTGTATGTTTTCCGGGAACTGGGCAAACTTCAAGGGTGAATCCTAAGTTCAGTTTATATATATATATATATATATATATATATCAAGTAGGTCAAGTCAGACGTATCTATAGTTATGTTCATTAGTATGTCGGTGACGAATGTAAATAGGAACAGTGACAGTGGGTATACCTGACGGACGCCACTCGTTACCGTCAGTTCTGATGAGAGTTTTTAATTAACTCTTACGTGGCTGCTTGAGTTCGAGTAGAGAGCTTTTATAGGCATTAGATACTAGTTCGGTACTTCTTTCACAGTCAAACACTGCTACAACACCTCACGGTCAGCAGAGTCAGTTACCACCTTCAGCTCAAGAAATATTGCCAATGTCAGCCAACGGTAGGTATGCTTGTGTTTCAGAACCTATCGGATGGTAAAAAAATATGATTGATACACCTTCGTCCATATCTGAAACCTGCCTGATTTTCTCGCTCTAGCTAGCTACACACTTTTGTATTGAAATCGCCTACTGCGACGACCATGTTTCAAAGTCCAGCTCTCAGTATTAGGTTGGATAGTTTTCGGTAGGCCTTATTTTTCAATTCTCTGAACTGCAATCAATTAGTGCGTCAGTAGAGATTAAAAAGAGACCGTTAGGAGTTTCATTATTCCTTTTTATCCTGACTGTACTTTTCAATCAAACAACTCACAGACCATTATCAACTGAGATATAATTGAGTAGTCCAGTTTCTACCGGTATATTCAGTGCAAGACCACAAACTACTAGCTATCGAATCTCTAGAAACTCAAATTTTGCTTATTCACCATATATTGGTCGGAGAAGATTAAGTGAGTAGGTGCTCCTGGTTCCTGATACCTGATAAAGTATATCATTATTGTTCAAGTTTTGTATACATATCATTATTAATACAGATACATCACCTTTAAAGTGTATTCCGAACTATATACTCTTTAAAAAGTTGCAATTCATTTGATATATCTACTAAAAACTGCACATTATCATCAGATATTTTAGAATGCGAAAATTTACCAGCTAACAATAATGAAAACCCTCCTGTAAGACCGTTACGCCGAAGTTTAATGTCTATATCTCCTCCTATATGTTGTTCAGTAACTGAAGAAAATTGTTTTTGGTTAAACTCAATCATCAATGAAGTTTCAAGTGAGTTAGTGATATAGTGTGATGAGTACTTTTTTTTAAACTACACTGTAAATAGTAGTTACTTTGTTATATATAGTGTATATTTTACATTGTAATCTTTCGAATTCTCGACCTATTTCCTATACTTTAAGAAAGAAAATATCCATTGTAGTACTGATATGAGTTTGTTGAAGCATTGAAGGCACCTAGAAGCATAGGGCAACTGTTTCGTCGTGGTATGAAACCACTCGGGAATACTCACTCATGATCCCCACCACGGATCGAACACAAGACTGTAATATCTACTAATCAACACGTTAGCACTCAGACACTGAGTCGGAATGCAATGAACTACATTCTTCTACTTCTCTCAGTTGACTTCAGAAATCCATCAACATATAACTTATGTAAATATTTAGGTACAATATTATGTGATATTAGAAATCATTTAAGTTAGTCTAAGTTAACCAATTTTATTTAGGTTTGGAACAAAGATTAGATAATATAAAACTAGAGAAAGGAGAGGTAAAAAGGATCTTCAATAAAGTGAGTCTCCATTAAAGCATACACCGGTAAATATGGCACCTGAGGCTGACAGAAGTCAACTCACAACTGACCATGAACTTAGTAACAGAACTAGAGTTTTGGTAGAGGAGATAGTCCTAGGGGGTATAGTTATGTCTAGGTTTCATAGTCTTCAGATTCCAAAACGATAAACATATATAAATGAACAGAAGACGGGACCTCTCTCCTATCCCTGTTGATTATTATTTGTCCCTTGGGTTCTTAATGGAACATAGGGCTTCAGTAGCACATCGACATTTCACTCTCTTCTCTGCAGTCTCTTGAACCTAGCTCCACGATTGCCCACAAGCTTTCATTTCTTCCTCACACCATCTGCTCCATTTCACCCAGCTCGTCGTTTTGCCTTTGAGTTGCACTTGAGGGTATGGCCTGATGCGTGATGTCCCTAAACGGTCTTGTCAGTGTATGTCCAATTCAATTCAATGCATTTGGACTTTCTTGTTGTGGATATTTTGTCGGGTGATAGGTAGGTAGGTAGGTTGTTGGTTGGTTGGTTGATTGGTCGGTTTGTTTGTTTGTTTGTTTGGAGGGGAGAGTTTGTTGTTGCTTGTTCTTTCTGACCTTGTGATGTGATATGATGTGATGTGATGTGATGTTGAGTATGGAGTGAGCGTAGGCGTCAGTTATTGATTGATGTGTGTCTGTAGTTTGTTGTAAATGTTTTTCGTGAGGTGCGAAGTCTGTGAACCGTGATAGAGAAGGTGTGACTTGACAGAATTAGTGTTGAGGATGAGGATGTTGTTGACGGTTTATGGTGATTGCAGTGGAGTGTAGTAGATGTCCACATTGATTGAGTTTAGGTTGATGAAGGCCTGTGTTGCTGTCTTTTCGATCTTGGCTGGCTTTGATGTTCTCATCTGTGCCTGTGCTGCCTGTAGTTGAAATGATGTTACCTAAGTAGTCGATGAGAGAGACAACTTCATTTAGTTTTGTGCTGTTGATGGTGATTGTTGCTTGCTTTTGCGGTACATATACAAAAATGGGAACGATACAGAGAGAGGATTAGGATGACTGCTCTGCGAGGATGACATGGAAAATCGTTATTCGTTCCATATTTTTTAACCTTGCCTTGTTAACTAGTTCAGTGGTTACTAGGTGGCCCTAAGGTTGGATGAAGAGGGAAGGTTGAGCATGGCGCTACCAACCCTACCCCATAAAGCTAATGTAATCGCTAAAGAGACTTCAAAGCACAAAGGAAATATTAAAAAGGTAAACAAATGTCTGTTGATTGTAGATATATTTGTAGACAGTTGGGAACCGATGGCGTTAGGAACATTCCAACCCAACTGGAAAGTGTTATAGTGACAAATAGATGACTCATTTAATGTGTTCAAACGAGAACATATCCATAGTCTCTCACCATCCACTTAACTCGGTAATAGATGCAATCCAATTCACGTGCGAATTTGGAAGATGAAGAAGGAGAGTTACCTTTGCTGAATCACAAAATGGAGAGCAGCAACTTTGTCAGTTTAGACATCAGCGTTTCCAGGAAATCATCAAACTCACACAGAGATACTTGGATTTCACTTCGTTTCACTCTATATCTGTGAAGGTAGACTTGGTAAAATATTAAAGTAATCTAGCTAGGAGTCTGACTAATAAATCAGGAGTTGAGATGCATTAAAGAGACATTGCTACCCTCTGAAGTTTATTAAATGCTTTTCACTTACTTGTAAGAGATGGAGTGTTAATATTAGTGGTGATGGCAGCATACCTGAGAGGGAATTCCAAGTCTTCTGTTGTACTGCCATATAGAGAAGGCTTGTCGGAAATTTTTTATAGAAATGTTAACAATACTGGTACAACGGTGGCATGTAAACCGATAAACTCAGTAGATCGAGTTAGGCAAAATGACTTAACCTATCAAATATAATGGAATGATTTTGGAGTACGTCGCGGATGTCAGAGTAACCTATTCATATTCCTAAGGATAATGGAGCGCAGGAGTTGAGAGATAAGCATAATGATAAACTGTACAGAGGAAACTAATTTCGTAAACCAAAAGGTCAACTCTGTGATTATGTAGTTTTTATTCATTGAATGAAGACGAGGTAACAGAATGTGATTCATGACATACTGCAAATGTTTGGAAATGTGTAATACCTCTTGTAAAAGCATAAAATGAGGAGTCGTTCTACTGTGAAAACGTGAAATTTAAACGTCATGTATTGATTAGATTGTGTTTCAGCAAGCCATAGCGGGTTTAAAATCAAATAATTCCAACGTTTCGCATGGAAGTCTGGTCTGAGCTTTTCAGGGAAATAATCAAAATTAAAATACCCGGGATACCTATAAATGAATCCAAAAAAACGTGTATTTAATCTCCTTGTCTAATCCTCTTTGTATAGTCATTGTCTTTCTACATTATGATAACGGAATCATTCATGTAAAATTGTATATCTTTTGTTGTATGGCGTATGTATATATGTATACTCCAGTTCATATTCATCTTGATTGTAAATAACAGATGAAAAGGACATTGGTGACAGTCATCGGTAATTTTATTAGTACAAATTGAAAAGGATGAGGTGGATGTGTATACAATTTCAGTTGGAATAAAGTGGTGAATAGTGTTAGGGGATTATCTTCGCATTGATTTACCGGAATATATGGAAATGAGTGATAGTAATGGTGGTGGTGAAGATGATGATGATGATGATAGTAATAATGAACCAAATTAGTGCATGTTGTGTTGTTGTTGATGATGCAGAAATAATGAAGTTGAGACTAGTGTTGACGGTAAATGTTTTGAGTCATTCTTTCTGCTTACTAATTAGTAATTGCCAAGAGGTGGCAGCTAACTGTACTCCATCTCGTCTGTTCAAACTGTCTGGATTCGCCGATATATGTAGGGCTTCGGCTGTCAGTCTTTCTTGGTATGGACCTGGAACCTTTTTGTAAAACCTTAGTCCCGTCAAAGTGAATTTTGTGTCCCATTTCTACAGAGTGTAGCGCTATCATGGATTTGTTTTCTAGTTTCTTAACCTCTGTTGAGGTTTTTGGGATCTGCTGTAAGCATAGTTTATGCTCATTGACTCTCACATTTACCTGCCTGGCTGTTTCCCCTACATATACTGCAGTACAATCACCGGATTTGATTTGATAGACGCAGTTCTGTTGATTTTCTTTAGGTACTACATTTTGAACTTTCAATATTTGTCAAACTATACGATCAAATCTTGATCATAGTTTATCTAAAGTTGTATATTGAATTGACAAGTTGGATTGATTTCAAGCATCAATGCAACAAACTTTATTTTAACATTCTGTATAGGGATAATTGGAAAGCAGACCTCAGCATTAGATTAATGTGGATTGGTTAGGAATATCCCTAATTCTGTCTGTCTGTCTGTCTCTATATGTGTATGTATGTAGGGATGAGAGTAACGGTAAATGCGATACTACCCAAAGTTAATTAAATTGACCAACTAGATGTTGTCTATTATCTTACTTATTGGATTAGAGTGACGGTGGGTGTATTTTACTATCCTGTATATGAATGAATATTGACTGCTGCCTAACTCTTGTAGTAGTAGTATTCTTATCAATTTAACTCTTTATTACACAGTTTATGCTATAAATACAACGCCACAATTTTTGTTTTCATTTCATTTCACATATTGATAGATTGCACAGAGAAATGTAAAAGTGAAGCTGTTGATAATGGCATGTCGAATTCTCCGCCTCCATTACCTCCTCGTATTCGCTTCTATGGGTCACATTGTTTATCTGGACGAACTGGAGAAAACATGAAAGCTGAGAATAATGACATTTATATTGATTCACCATGTACAAATTCGTGGTCAGGAAATCTCTTGTCATCAAACAATGTGCCGAATACGAATCGTTCATCACCTCCTCCACTACCTCCTAAAAAGTCAACTACTCTTAAGAATTAAAGCGTATATGTTTCTCATCATCTGTCTGTTTATGTGCTACTATGGTTTATTTCATCTTCAGATATAAATGTGAATCTTGATGACGAGCATTAGTTGCGAAATCTTTCTCGTTTATAGTTACGGGGAATTGAGGAAATTATGCTTCTGTTTGTCAATTGTCTGTCTTTCAACTTTTCTGTATGATAATACCTATTCTTTTTCTGTATAAATCTTATTTGATGGTTAGTTTTTTCTGTGTAGAATATCGTTATGATAATAAACTGTATTGTTAATATGAGTTACTGGATGAATATGGAATGAATGGATTTTCAATGCTTTCATTCAGTAGTCGGATGGAATGAAGAATCGTTTTTTATAGCTCCAAGTTGTATATGTTCAATGTATCCATCTCTGTGATGTTATGGAGTAACTAACTAACTAACAAACTGGTTTGTACATTTTTCTATTTGATAAATTCGATTTTATGATTCGTCTATGTGTAATCTCTTAGGAATATATGCCACATACTATTTGGACGATAAACGTGGTGAATACAACCATTTTGTATAAATATATCATACTGTACTGGTTGATGTTCTCGTATAAAGTGTTATATATATATATATATATATATATATATATATATATATATATATATATATAATATGTTCTGGATTAGTGACGCTAGCTTGTGTGTATTTGCTATCATTGTAGTGCATGTTATGGGCTGTTTAAAGTAGTGTTGTGGGGGAATTTCTCTTAACATCTTGTGATTTATGCTGTTGATATATATATAGATATATGTTTGTAATGTTTTTATTGTTATTATTATTATTAAGCGTTGTAAACGAGATGTCTTACGGCCAGACTGCGTCACCATCACTCACCTTTCTTCCTAGCTGTTTCAAGAATGTTATTTAAGACACAGGTGAAGAGAAAGGCTGCAATCGGGTAACCCTACCTGCCTAACCCTACTGCTAGTTTGGAACAAGAGAGGTGTTATTATATAGGGTTTTTAGGATGTTTATAAATATCTCAGGCTTTCTTCTTTTCAACAGCCCTAATGCCAAGAAACACAAAGATTGTTGGCCTGCAATACTTTTGGCGATGTTCAACCATCTGGCGAAGAGTGAAAACGTGATCAATGTATCCTCGATCTGAACGAAATCTGGCCTGATCCTTGCGTGTTTTGCAGAGTCGGCGAACTATGATAGTAGCCAATATTTTCGACTGGATTGGTAAAAGACTTATTCCCGGCTTATTGTCATTAAGCATAGGCACTATAGTTTCATTCCTTAGTGATAGATCTCTCTGGGTCTGCCATATCTTCTCAAACAATATAGTGAGTTCTTTGACTAGAGTCGTTCCTCCATCTTCAAAAAGACCTGTGGTAAGTTGTCTGGGCCGGGTACATTGTAGCATTTCAGAATTCGGCGTTCCTTATGGACCTCCGCTACGTTAGGTGGCTCAGTTGTAACTGACTATGGAGCACGATACACTGGAACTGATAATGTTGGAGCCGTGATCCAGCTAAACTGCTTTTTGGAGTGCTCCACCCAGCGTTCCACGAGTCTTTGAAGGTTGTTTATCTGGCGTACCCTCTACCTCACACACTGTCTCACTCACACCAGGCTACCTGTTGCTAGTGGCTCCTATGAGCTGGAACAACATCCGACTATTGCCAGATGCAGCTCTTGTTTCCATCTCACTTGTGCCTTCTGACCAGGAAGCTTTACAGTTTCTGTGTAAATGTTGTGTAATCTTTTGCGTAAGAAACTAGTGCGAACGAATGTACTCGATATCCGCCAGAATGAACCGACTGGTGTCAAGAAGTAGGTGGGAGCTCTCAGAGACCCAGTGTTTATTAGCGGGACCTTCTAAGCCACAAGCGGCTTTACTTGCTATTTTCATGCCGTCTTGCTAATGCAACCAATGCTCGTCTACACTTTCTGTAGCTAGCTCGGATTCGTATTTAGCTGCAGTGCTAGGTGCAACTAATTTGCCTGAATCGACCCGTTTAGGAAGACGATTTCGATGACTACGAAAACTCAAGACGAGCTTAGTATACACTAAAGCATGATTTGGGCCCAGACAAGTACTCCATATTGAGCGGCAGTCTTGTATGCCTCGATACCATCGATAGATGATTGCAGTATGATCTAATTGAGCCCAGAGTTGAGTGGCAGAGGGAGGACGCCAAGTCGCATAACAGCAGTGGCTGTGCCAAATGTTGGTGCTGGCTAGAAATAGGTTGTGATTTGCTCAAAGCTGCAGAAGACGATCCCTGTTATCTGACCTGCAGCCAACTGGTCCCTACTAGCCACGTAAACGACTCTTCTCTGAGTCTAGACGCCCGACCTGCTAATTCAGTTCCCCACTGCGATATCTGTCGAGTGCGTTTAATAGATAAGATCACACTCATCCTTGGTTGCATCCGGGCTGTAATCCTTTGGAGCCTACGCAGGTCAACAAAGAGACCACGTTTCTCTTGCCGGTTACTTCTTACTCGAGATGATCTTTCCAGCCTAACAGCGCACACATGACTGTTGACGGGGATCCAGTCGAGTAGTGCAACTTCGGCTTGAGCGCCTAGTACGACATCAATGCCAGATGCCGAGACCACACGGTCCCGGATAGGCGCATATGAAACATACTTTTCCAGCTGAAAAATCGAGAACTACTTAGAAGAACTTCATGGGGATCTTGTATGCAGATCTCTAAGATGTAGCTAAATCTGCCTGCTGTCCGATCTGAATCAATGTACGAACGTTGAAAGTGACAAGCCTCAATGTTATGCGTGCTTTCAGGATGGCTATGTTATATGTCGCACTGGAGGACAGCTTTATGGGGGTAACTGATCAGCTACTCGAAACGGCACAGACAAACCAGAAGTCTTAACAGTGGAGAGCAGGTGAGTGAAGATAAAGACAAAAGTGAAAATGGTAACAATAAAAATTTAAAGTTCAGTGAATAGGACTTCCTTGGCAGAAGCTATGAACGTATATCAGAGCGTTTGGGGTTTTTCGAATAGTCTACACGAACAATCCCAAGTATTTCTTGTTGAACTGTCTCGTCTTCCCCATAAAATCTCATAAACACAGTGGGTTTGGGGAATATGAGTTGACTATGCTTATTCATTCCCTAGCATGGTTTACTTATTTCCTAAAATGACCTCGTCTTTTTGATGCATTTAAATTCATACTACTTGCTATTAATGAGTAGTATGATTATTTTCTCCCTACGAATTTAGGTCCATTCGTTTTAAATCCTACTTCGTTCATCATTTTAACGTCTTTCCTGTTGCATAACTGCATTATACTTCCTTGATTGGTTTTCTTGATTTCTTATTTTCCCTTGAGCATTTATTTAGGCTTAATCACTGATAAAATCCTTTTTCCAAAGCTTTTTGGAGTTCTTTTAGTACTATATCATCCTCGATTAGAGTTGTGGGATCATCTTGATATTTCTGTGCAGTTCATCAATTTGATGTTTTGTTGATAAATTTACTCACAGTTGGAGCAGCAAGCTTCGGCATGTCTCTGCCAACTAGCATTTTTTCCAATTCATCTTTAACACTGACCAATCATGTGATTAATCTCATGTCTTGTATGCACAATCTAAGTTGATTTTAAAGGCCCCCCTAGGAACTACTGAAATAGCCAGTCAGCTTTCAGTTTCTTTGTATCACTCAAGAGAGAATCACCTCGGAACCATAAATGAGATAGAAATGGATGAAGACTGAATGAAAAACTCTTAAGTCGAGCTATACAATAATCCTTTTAAATAAGTTCTGGGTAAAATTCCTTTGAAAAAAGTAAAGAAAATAATGTGATCGATAATACCTGAGATTCATAATTTCCAGATTTTGGGTCGCGCATGTAAAGGAGTGATAGGATAGCCTCCTCAGGTTGTTTTACCACGTTTCAAGGTATTTATCTCTTAAAGAAGATATAAATATTAGGAACACAATTACTAGATATCTTAGATTTATGTTTTATCTCTAAAGCTTTTCTGATTAATAAATATTGAAGTCTGAATTTCAGTGGAGTTGTGGGGATTTGGAAATGTTTCAAGTTGTTATTCATTGTAAACTGACATCAGTTGGAGGAACAAAGGAAACCTGGGAGTACTGGACAGCTGTTTCGTCCGACTAGTATGGGACTCCTTAGCAGCGCGCATCCACGACCCGGCCAGGGACCGATCCCGCGACCTTCAGGTCCTGTGACCGGTGGGGGTAAAGCTTTTTGGTCGTGAGGATAGTTACTCAACGATGACATTGGGTGGCGGTTGCACTATATCGTGAGCTAACAGAAGTTGGAAATATGGGTGATAGGATTTTGACCCAACGGCTAACTCAATGGTAACGTGCTGGCCATGTAACCCGAAGGTCGCGGGTTTGATCCCTGCGGGGCGGGGTCGTGGGTGCGCACTGCTGAGGAGTCCCATACTAGTTGGACGAAACAGCTGTCCAGTGCTCCGAGGGTCGGCTTGTTCCTGTAACTGGTGTTAGTCTACGATGAATAACAGTTTGAAATATTGAAGCGTTGCAGAGATTAATTCATCAGTTGACGAAAGCTGATAATAGGAAGGGTTGACAGCTAAACTACACTAATGCTTGCTGAGAAACTCTATAAAGCTTTAAAACGTTTGTGAATGTATGTTCTCCACAGTATCCGCACAACTTTGTGTTTTCCTTGGTTTGATGTTGAAGTATTGTTTCTGCACTTACATGGAACCATAAATATACTCACAATAATGATAGTCTATAATTTATGATTAGCTTCATGATATTTCGTGACTGTCGCAGGAATTCCTTATAGTCTACAAACTTACTTTCCAGTTTATTTCAATCCCAATTAACCACTACATAAGAAGCAATTTATTCACATTGATCATTAAGAGCAAATCAGTCTAAATGTAAGCATTATGATTAACTCAGATAGTGGCACATTTTATCTTGATGAGTTGACCGTTACATCTACTTTCTAATATGATCAATCGTAAACCGGGTTACTTGAGAT